GATACTGTTTATTTCAATAAAATTTTCCAAAAAATATTTAATGTACAGATTCCGCTTAGTTACAATTTTATTATATATATGCATTATTCACGTAAAAACTTGACGTTATTGTGGTCGAACATAGCGAACATCCAATAGCAAAGCAATTAATGAGTATACGATGAGAACGTAGTTGTAAAATGACGTCACGCGAGCAGGCGCGCTCGCGCGAAATATTTGACTGGGAGGGAAACTAAAATTGTCGTATCTTCTATACTACTTACTTGATTTTAATAAAACAAAAACAGGTGTATTGTACGGTCATTAAGAGGATTGTGAAGTGCCGATACGCGGCGAGAGTAGGTATTTTAAAAAATGCTATCTGTTTCATACCGCTTTGCATCCCCCCGGCAGTGAACAACACAAATACAACATACGCAAATTCTCACGCACACTATGAACGAGCCGGTGACGCGCGGGCGCTCGCGGGGGGCGGGGGCGGCGCGACTCGGCGCAAGAGCAATTTCAAAATTTATCTAATATCTACGGTTTGCGTACAATATACATTCCCTACAAGTTACATCGCACTGTCGGCGACGGAAAACCTATCTTCGAGTAACGTGTGTATTAATATAGGGACAATGTCATTTTAGCGTATTATGAATAATTGTTGTAAATATGAAATCTCATTCTTATTAGATTTATTATGTTAAAATAAGTTCTAATTAGTGTAATAAGGTTAGTTTAGAGTATTTTTTGCTTATTTGAATCATATAAGACTATTTAACATTAATTTGAAAGGAATAGGTACGTAAGTAAAATGTTAGCATATAATTACGTAACTTGAAAATGAGATTTTTTGTTTCTTGCAATAGCATAATAGTTTATGTTTTAAATAATAGATTTTATTATAAAACTTATAATAAAACAAGAATTAGGTCGATAGGACTATCCGTTCAAAAGTTATAAGGGAAAATGTATAGTAAAAATGTAGCAACCTAGAAATTTAGATATTTTTGTTTTAAGACTTTTTTAATTAATTATTATATATTGAATATTATGTTTTAATATTGTATAATAGTATGTAAGGCATGTAAATAAATAAATATGTGTAAGGTGTTTTACTGAAAACATAAAATAAAAGGACTCTCAAGGTTTCGGTTTAGGGAAATTTTACTCGAAAAATGAGCTCAAAGTACGCGGCTCTCTGTAAGGTATTAACGGGCCAAATAAAAGGCGAGCCATTTCTCGATTCGAGTCAGTCGCAAGACAGCCACCGAAGAGGCAACAACTAAAAGGAAAAGGAAGAACCGAAACCAAGAGAGAAAAAAGGAAGAAAAGTCTCCTGTCAACGAAGAAACCCTAGTGGATCGGGACCCAAGCTACGCATTCAGGGGTGCGTGGTGGCGTACATTACCAGCGAACGGACATACTGCCGTGTACGCCAAGAACGTCTGGGAGATTGTCCCAGGTCGACCTCCGGGTACTATACATACCCTGGTTCTGGTCGTCCGAAACAGTTGGTCCTTCGAGCCGGATCCCTGCTAGAAGAAGTTCAGAAGAAACAGAAGATTGCGTTCAAGATGCCGGTAACCAGGTCGCAGAAGGATGCCCCCTCACGTCCCGGGTCCCGTCCTTCAGATAGGGACGCGACAGATGGAACGTCGGGATCAGAAGGGGTCACGTCAGCGTCGGCGTCATCGGGAACTGCAACTACATCGAACACTTCTTCGGGTACCACGACCACGGAGGGCACCACAGTGACGGAGACTACGGTTACGACTGCAACTACGGCGGCGTCTATGGAAGGCAACAAAGAAGATGCTGCACAGAGGATGACCAGGAAGAGCCAAGAAGATGTACCTGGAAAGGATGTTCAAAGCTCCTCCAAGATCCTGAAACCGATGGGGGTCAGTCGTCGCGCCAGGTCCACGAAGACCACGAGTTTCTCGGCCAGAAGACGCGAGCTAGAAGCAAAGGAAGAGTTGGCACGCCTGGAGTTGAAGCAAGCACAGGCTGAAACTAAGCTAGCCCGTGTCAGATTGGAGATGGCACAGTGTGAAGAAGAGGACTCCGTGGATGAAGACCTGGAAGACAGATCAGCACAGGTGCAGAACTGGATCGAGACGTCTGTGCTGGAGGATGGCAACAAAGTTCATTCAGAGATGCGAGGTCCACACCCCTTGGAAGAGCCACAGAAGATGAAGCCTGAAGAGAACTCCTCAACGAGAGGAGCTACGATTGAAATTCAAGCACTGACGGCAGCATTGAAGGAAGCTCTTACCACGCGAGGACCAGCAGGACAGCCAACCTACATTCACGAGTTACCCTACTTCGACGGCAACAGCAGCGAGTGGATGGCCTTCAAGGTTGTCTATGAAGATACAGCACCGATGTTCAACAACGTCCAGAATATGGCTCGGCTAAGAAGAGCACTGAAGGGCAACGCAAGAGAAGCTATCAAGAGTCTGCTGTACTCCGAAGCCTCTCCGATGGAAGTAATTCAAGCCCTCAGAAGAAGATATGGAAGACCAGATGCACTGGTGCTGGCAGAGTTGGACAAGGTCAAAACGTTGCCGAAGATTTCTGAAAACCCAAGGGACATATGCCTCTTCGCGAGCCAGATCAGCAACAGCGTAGCGGCAATAAAAGGATTGAAGAAACCACAGTACCTGCATTCACCTGAGATGGTGAAACAAATTATTGAAAAGATGCCTACGATCCTCAAGTTCCGATGGTACGACTTCATTGAAACAACAAAAGAAGGCGAGTTCTCCGACCTAACACTGGTGTCCAAGTTCCTGAACAGAGAAGCAGACAAGTGTGGAGCCTATGCATCAACAGAAGAGAAGAGCGGGTTCAGACGGACTCATCGACAAGCAACGCATTCAACTAAGGAAAAGGACTTCAAAGAAAAGGTTTCAAGATCAGAGAAGACTTGCCCCATGTGTGAGGGTGAACACTTCTTCGTCGGGTGTCAGAAGTTCCTGAAGGCGTCTGTGCAAGATCGATGGGCAATAGTGAAGAAAAGCCGCGTTTGCTTCAAGTGTTTACAAGGGACACATCGGAAGGAGAGCTGCAAGAAGCCGTCGTGCAAGGAATGCAAGAGGTGGCATCATCATCTGCTGCACGTCGAGACAGAGAAAAGTTCCTCGGAAGAACAGAAGAACAAACCACAAGAAGTGGCGAGCATCATGGCATCGGTGAATGCGGTCAACAACGCAAGGGCATACCTGAAGATAATTCCGATAAAAATCTTCGGGTCAAAAGGATCAAAGAAGATATTGGCCCTCATGGATGAAGGGTCAACAGTGTCGCTGCTAGACCAGAAGGTAGCAGAAGAAATCGGCGCTCAAGGAAGAAAGGAGGAACTGGTCATCGAGACTGTTGGAGGCAGGCTGATAAGGAAGGAAGACTCTCAGATGCTGGACCTTACGGTGAAGGGGATTCATCAGAAGACCAAGAAGACCTTGAGAAGAGTCCGGACCATCGACGAGTTGAAGCTTGCACCGCAGTGCCTAGAAAAGAAAAGGATAGAAGAGTGTCAACACTTGAAGAAGATTGCTGACTCTCTATATTATAAGGGGGAGTCACCACAGCTGCTCATCGGTCAAGACAACTGGGAGCTAATCGTGACTCAAGAAGTAAGAAGAGGGAAACCAGGACAACCAGTCGCTTCAAGAACAGGACTTGGATGGGTGCTCCACGGGTCAGACACTGGAGGCGCGAAAGTGGTGCACTTCTTAAACACGTGTCTACATGTCAGCACGCCAGAAGAAGAGATGCATCAAGCCATCAAGGATCACTTCGCAATCGAAGCACTTGGAGTACTACCAAGAAGACCCACTACGGATTCAGAAGGAAGAGCACTCACCATCCTAGAGAAGACCTGCAGAAGACTAGAAGATGGTCGATTTGAAGCTGGACTTCTATGGAAAAATGAAGATGAACAGATGCCTGCAAGCTACACGTCTGCCAAGAACCGATTGTTCAACATTGAAAAGAAGATAGACAAAGACCCTCAGCTGAAGGCAGAATACAATAAGAAAGAAACCACTGGCGAAGAAAAGGCAGCGGACATCGTAGCGACTGCAGGCAGCTCCTATCCATCACCAGATCCCGAAAATTTCTCGTCGTGGAAAAGACTTTGGCGAGCTACAGCAAGAGTACTGCAGTTCATACAACTCTGCAGAAGAAAGGAAAAGGTCCACGCCAGCAAAGAAGATCCTACCTGGAAAACTACAAAAGGGAATAAGAAAATTGTTGAGAAGCGACATCTGTCTTCAAAAACGTCAGAAAGGAAATACATACCATTGGAAACAAGTCTACTAGAGCAAGCTGAAACGCTGTTGTTAAGAAGAAGTCAAGAGAAATGCTTCAAAGAGGACATCAGGTGCCTACAGCAAGGAAAACAATTAGAGGGCAGCAGCAAGTTGAAAAGGCTCGACGTAGTGCTAGAAGAAGTTCTCCTGCGACTGAAAGGAAGAATCGACGCGATACGAGGGGTTACCAGAGACTACAAACGACCCATCGTACTCGACAGCAAGGACAAGACAACACTTCTCATCATAGAAGAATTTCACTGCCGCTTCAATCACGGGAATCACGCGACCGTAATGAACGAAGTAAGACAACGCTTCTGGGTGGACTGAGGTCAGCGATCAAGACCATTCAACATCAATGCCAGTGGTGCCTATGACGATCACCGTAGCAAGACGCCATGAGATCACTCTGCACTGACAGCATGATCATGGCACTACGACGATTCGCCGCGAGAAGGGGAATGCCAAAGATAATCTACACCGACAATGGCACTAACTTCGTTGGCGCCAACAAAGAACTCAAAGAAGCACTAGACACCATGAAGCAAGAAGACCTTATCTCGGAAGCTAAGTTTCGAGTCATTTAACCGCCTCAGGAACATTCTTCAGTAGATGCAATCACCAAGTAAAAACAATAAAGGGTTACAAAAAAAAAAAGATTTAAATAGTTTTTCTTATTGTTTATTTAACAAAGGTCTATCGTTTTCCTCCAACACGTGGTGCTGCCTTTTGGCTTACTTTAGCAGCTTTAGCTTTGGGCGGCGCCTTTGCTTTGGGAGGAGCGGTGGTAGCCTTCTTTGCAGCCTTGGTAGACTTCTTTTGCTCCTTGGCAGCCCTAGAATAGTAATTATTTAAATGAATATAGAATCATGATTAAAATATATTGGGATAATATTTGCATTTCTAGATTTTAGCTTTATTATAAAATCTAATATATAAAATTCCATATCACAGTGTTTGTAACAAAACTCCTCCGAAACAGCTTGGCCGATTCTTATGAAATTTTGTGTGTATATTCAGTAGGTCTAAGAATAGGACGTAAACTATTTTCACACCCCTAAGTGATAAGGGTAGTCCACCCCAAAAAAAAATTTTATCTTTCAGATGACATTTTTTATTTTATTTTTTTATGATTTGGCATTAAAAATATATACAAACCTACTATTCGCTAGTAATAGTATAAAAATAAAAAAGACGTCAAAAATCTTTAAAAGAAAATACCAATTAAATATAAAATAATGGGTTCTTAAATAAAAAATCCATTATATTATAATTTTAGTGATGATTAAGTAAGCCTTTAGATAGCTAGATATAAAGATTATAACCTCTATGGCATTCTTGAGATATTTTTTTTGCAACTACATATATGGATTATTTTTTGTTTGTTTGTTTGTTTGTTTTATTTATTATTTGCAGTCTGTATAACTGAATAAAATATAAATAAAAGAAAATATCAGGACTAGAACACTTTCACATTTCAGAAATCTTAACCATAAAAAAATGATGTACAATCATTAAAAAATGAGCTAAATTGCACAATTGAGACAATGCATTGTTATTATTTCCCAATTAATTTGAATGGAGAAGACATGAGAGATTGGTATTACATATATTTAATAACAGTTCTCATAGTCTTCAAATGATCATTTCCTCATCATGAAAATGTGACACCTTAGAGGATATTGCTAATGTTTTTTGTTTATTCATGGGTCTTGTATACCCACTAGTTTTTAATTATTTTCCTTTTGAAAGAATTGAGGCAAGTGGGTCATTCCAGCTCCCATATAAAATATTCCAACATTTTTATGAACTGTTCACCTCCATAGAAATAGTCCTTATAATTTGTGTTGTTTTTGTAATTTTTTACTGTTTATTATTGTACAAAAAAAATAACAGAATACACAGAAAAAGATAACATCAATATTAAAAATGTGTTTTACAGATAATACAAAAAAAAAGTTAAATTTCTCCTCATAATATCCTGATTGATATAAATAAGCATTAATCTTAAAACTATTAATTTCAACTGAATTGGAATAATTTAACAAATTTACAATCTGTATCATTATTTTTTATTTATTTAATTCTAATTGTGGATGAATTTACTAATTAAGTAAAATGAAATAATTGAAGTTTGTTTTTACTCAGTAATTATAAAATTAAAAAGTTAATGTTATATGTATTTTGTTAAAAACTATTATTTTAAAGCATAAATGTCACTATTACTAATGTAAGTAATCATGTTTCTGGCTTGCAACTTATATTATGTAACTTACTTGATAGCTTGCTCTCTTTGAGCTTTCCTGACTTCAGGTTTCATGTTCCTCTTGGCCATGATGTCACTGAGTGAAGCTCCAACAATGGCACGCTGGAACTTTTGTGTCCTTCTGGTGCGTTTTTTAGCCTGTTCTTCTTCTTGGCCTTTCTTAAACTTGCGCCTGTATAGTATTTTTTATGTTTCTTAGAATGTTGATATGCAATAATAAGTATAACATGTAACAAACAATTTAATAACACCCAATTAAGCATAATAACTGTAAATAATAATACCTGTAAAGCACAGTCCATGTCACCTTACGAGGATTTCTCCTCATCAAATGTGCAGCCTCACATTTTGAATTTAAGAATGTGAAGGTCTGAAAATCATATTGTTTTATATTTAGCTGTTCAAATAATATGTGCATATTTGGTTATTAATAACAAAAGATAAGATAATTACTTGTGTACTTGCCATAGTACTTTAAGTAATACTTTATAGTAAGAAGTTGTCGTCAAAAATTATAACCTATTTGTCAAAACAATCATGATAAAATAATCATATTATATGTTAATGGAATCATTATTGATCCATAAATATGTAGCACTCTTACAGAAACTGAAGAATACTAATACAACACCTATTATTTACCTTGCCATCCACCTTAACCATGGTTTTGCCATGGCCGGGGTATATCTTGTAACCACTGTAAGCACAAAGTCCGATCCTGCAAATAAAACACTAATAATAAAATCAGAACACTTCACATTTATCTCCATATAAATTCACGAAAAAATAAGATATGATTTAAAAGATTTATTAAAATACAAATTTGCAATATAAACGTACTTCATTTTGACTTCTGCTAGAAAAGAAAGAGAACTTGACACTTGACAGTTGTGACTTGTGAAGTTGTGAGTTGACGACGTAGTGATGCGCGACTATGAATGACTCCAGTCGAACTATTCTACTTTATAAATAAATCGACTCATTCGAATGAATAAATGTACTATTGCTAAGTAGGTATTAGTTGTATTAGTAATACGTTTCCTTCGACTAACAACTTGTATGTATGTTTTACGCACGGCCCTCCACCGAATTACACCTTACAGGTAAAGAGAAGCAAGTAAACTTTTACTAACTATTAAGTAACAATAATAAGTTTTTTTTTAGAAATTTAATTATGTAATTCGACTGAGGCCCTGACAGAAGGGCGCTCTAGCCTCTAACAGATTATTCGGCGTTGAGTGGCGGCAAATGATCCATTGACGGTTGACCATTCATTCGTATTTCATTTCAAACTGGCAACTGAGTTGCCGTCACGACCAATTTAGTTCATTCGCCGTTAGTAATTAGTAATAAATATTGTATTATTAACATCAGTATATTACTAATATTCAAATCGAATGTGTAAATTAGTAGTTAGTAGATGATTCGAATCGTCGCGTCGGATCATTACATTACATAATATGAATTTATCCACGGAATTGAAATATCTTCCGTGAATTTATCGGTCGAACCTACCAAAGCGATTTGCAAAGGGCACTTGCTCATCGTCAAATGCCAATAGTACCTAGTATAGAAATAGACGTAGAGAAGTCCAAGCCTAGTAGTTATGTACGAATGATTAATTTTTCACATTCGCGAATGCGAATATTCATCATAATATTCACAAAGCAAATGCGAATGTAAATGTAAATGTTGACTTTGAAATAAAGCGCGCGCAAAATGTTAAACAGATAGGTTTGACATATTGACATTTTGTGTCGGCTATGTTTAAACTGCACATAACCGAGCCGTCAGCCGATACAGGTTAAATGAACGAAGTTAGTCATACAAAGTTCACTCGAAAAGATTTCTTGTGGTTTGAGTATTATTAATATTATAAGAAAAACAAAAATCTCATCAGTTGTATTTTCATACCATATCCATTCCATCTCATATATAATTTCCTTTTTGTTTGTTTAATACATTTGTCAAATATTCACATCGTTTCTGGCGATTACAAATGCGAATAGCAGAAAATATGCGAGTATTCGTTATATTACTAATGCCAATACTTGTACCTACCGACTCAATATGTCTAATCTAATGATATAATAAAACATCATTGTCGTTAAATCGATTTTATGTCATTGGTTCACATCCACTATAAGAAAAGCTAAGAATGTACAAATATTATTTTCATCAATTCAACTCAAATCAATACAACTATCTATAATAGCTTTAATGTTTAATGAACAAAGTATATCCATACAGATAGATACACAGAATATTCAAAACAAAACTGTGATTTTATATTGCAGTAGACAATAGACATAAATAACTAATTAAAGTAGTAGGGGACTTTTTAGTAGGGATTGGCAATTGAAAAAAAAGAGTAGAGTATCGGTAAATGTCAAGTAAAAAACATCGATATTTATACCCCATGGCGTGGTTACTGGTCACCTAAAAGTATTGTCAAAATATTCAAGAGTCAAAAAATTAATACATCTGGCAGTTTTATTTCTTCAACAGTTTATATAATATGCAGACCCAAATTGTATTACAATACTATTTATGGCAAGTATGGTTAGTCACCCTAGTCACATACACCAAAGAAACCATCCATAGACATTTTTTTAAGGGTGCATTCGAGACGAATCAAACTGACTGAGTTCATAGGGACTATAATCGAAAAATATACGCAGCGCTTATGCTGTCGCGTAAATGAAAAATGACATGTTTTTGTCCGAAAAAATGTACGTTTCAATCACCAGTTGGCTTGACAGTTAACAGCTCGGTCTAAATACAGCTTGACTCGTTTTTTCAAATCTCGGTGATCGTGATGTGATTAGAGCAGTCCGCGGTCGAATACTTGCAACGTACATTTATGTATGTACTGGGCTCTTAAAAAAAATCGAATTTGACTCCGAAATAATTATCGAACATCGATATTTTAAGATTTAAAATGTCAATGATATACATCGATTATTTTTTGAAAAAATAAAGATATTTTGACATATCGATATTTTGGGCGCATCCTTACTTGTTAGGCTCTGTGGCCTTAATTTTTTAAATTGCAGATGCAGGGTATAAAAATAAGTTAAAACTAAATAACAAAAATTGCGATGATTTGTTCAGATTTTTTAGAATTCCAGGTTTGTGTTACTAATTATTGTTATTGTAGTGCTAGCTGCGTGTTTGGAAGATAATTATTTGTTTTTAATTATAAATTCTTTACCGACATAACCTTAAAAATGAAACAATGACTTACTTTAAAAGTTACACAGACTTTTATAATTGTTTTAGCTTTAAATGTATAAACCTTTAGGGGTGCAGTTTATTCTTTAAATTTATATAATCAACCATATAAATTTCAAAAAATATAACATTTCCTTGACATTTAGTTAACCTATTTTTTTTTAAAGTAGGTTTTAAAAACACTCAATAAAATTGTTTTATAATTGGCGAAGGAATAATGTAACGTACGCTTTGAAAGTAGGAGGTATTCAACCGTCTCTAATTTTGAAATTGGTCTACATTTCATTAAAATTTAAAACTAAGTTTTATTTCAGGATGTGTTAAAAAAGATGAGAGTATTAGATGATAAAATAGTTTACGCATTAAATACATCTTTACCCACTGAATCATTTCAAAATAAAGTAGATCCATCCTTGGTTTGTCAAGATTTGTATAACCAGCTACAAAAAGGGCATGGCGAAAGAGAAAATATAATTAAAAACTGTATAGTATCAACTGCTGAAGGTGTTAAAAAATTAATGGTTGCTAAAGAACGTTCTCCATATGATGTAGATGTCCTTATGAATTTAAAAACTGAACAACGAAAGGTATAATTATTTTTGAAATTGATTAACTTTGTTATTGTAATATAAATAAAATTAATTAACATAATATAACAATCTATTTTATATTAAAAAAAAAATATTTTAAAATACTGCTACTATGTTGATGTTTTTTTATACTAAGACTTAAATTATTAAAGTTTAATAAAGAAATTATTATTTACAGTTGCGTTTATTACAAACAGAACTCAGTGTGGAGGAAGTGATCAAGGAAAAAACTACAAAGTTATTCACAGAAAAATGTAGAAGTTATTATAAGCCGAATAATTTATGAAGACTGATAAATATGCATTTGAATATTGAAACGTTTCTGTACATAAATATATAATTAGTTAGTTGCGTTTTTTTTTGTTTAAATTTAATATTCCTTGTCACTTCATTTTATATACATAATAATTAATATGAATAAATAATGAAGCAGTTTGAATCTTTGGTAAATTCCAAACAAAAAAAACATCAGTTTGTATCATTATACTCCCAGAGTAGTAAACTTTTTTTTTTAAATCGCCTATAAAAGTTTAACTATAGAGAAAAATTTCTGATTATTTGGTATTTTTGAAAGTAATGGGTAGCAGTTTAAATATTATTTGGGTCACTTGCCTTATGAAGAAAGTAAGATACGTGGAAATCTGCAAGCCTGAGAACACAGCTAGTTTTTGAAAGACTTCAAGCTCACCAATCCAGTTGCCCAGCATGGTGGTGTTTGGCCTGATAACCATCACATTAAAGGGAGCAGTGGGAAAATGAAAGGGCTGAATTGTTATTATATAAGTACACTAGCGGACCCGACAGACGTTGTCCTGTCTACACGTCTTTAATTTGAAAATTTCAAACTTTTTTTAATAATTTTTTTGATGAAAATTATTATTCAAATTGTGAATCTAAACCATTCCCAGATCCCCTTGAACACACACAAACAATTTCATCAAAATCGGTCCAGTCGTTGAGAGAAGTTCAGTGACATACACACTCACAGAAGAATTATATATATAAAGATAACCATGTATTTTTATATTTGGTTAATAAATATAGATCCATGAGATAATTGAGACATCGCTTTAATTAGAAGGGAGGTTATAGGTGTTAAAATTTATATATAGTTTAATAAATTACCAATTTAAATTAGATTTAAATAGTATGCAGATGAGTGGTTTGAAATGGATACTTTTTTTCAAGTAAAGAATCAAATTCTAAATTTGCTGGTTTCTTTTAGTTCTTTCAATAGATGCAGTAGGAAAAATGTAATGGAGATGATTCATATGTAATTTTTTATACCATCTTTTTAAATAAATCCATTTAAATCTAAGAAAGGAATATGTGAACAACCTTTTTAGTTCCCTTTATATGCTACTGCATTAATCATTATGCAATTATATTTTTTATTTTTGTAAATTATTTGTTTTTGTAATATTAGAAATGAAATAAAACAATTATTTTAAAGCTTTTATAATAGCATTGTATTTATACTTAAAAAGATAAATATATCACATTAACAGTAAACTATATCTAATCTGTGTTGTAATAAATTTCTTTGTAGTAACATATTTCCTTATATGGTTATTATACTTTACTTGCCTCTGTTTCTTTCTTCTTGTAATCTTCTTCATATTTTTTGTGCCAATCTAGGTTCATCTGGTGAACAGATTCACCTCTCTTTACAGCAGCTTTGCCCATAAATATAGCTCCTATACTGCCAAGGGCAGTAAGTACCATTAAAATATTAGCAAGTTTAATCCTAGCTTCACTTCGAGACCTATCGATTAATTCAGGCCTAAAAATAAGATAACAATAATATAGCTATAGTTGTACAATAAAATTAGTATGCAACTTTTAATAAAATTCAATTTAATATAATTTTATAGTTATGTTACCTATGGTCCTGTCAAAAGTAGTTTTAAAAAATAAAAAAAATCCAAGTGATCATCGATAAAAAAATACTAGATACACAATCGGCGACAAAAAATGAACTCACCGAATGAGCGCTCATTTGAACATTTGCGCGCGCTTTTAATTTAGTAGCATTCGAAAGCTCCGACGGTAAACATGCCTCGGTGCTCGTTCAAAAATTGCAAAAATCACACATCTATGACGCTAAAACTGATGCGAGTTTCATATTTTCGGTGTCAATATTATCATTAAATAATTGTTAATACTATATTGTAAATACTGACACTTTGTCAAAAAATCATCGTAAAACAGTTTTTAAGTATTTTTTAAATTAAGTCGTAATAAACATTCATTCCCTATCACGGCGAGGTGCCGTAGCGGTGGCGACGCGCGGCGAGCATCGGTCGTAAGTCGTAACTTTTTTTTGTGAAAACAACTTTAAGCATTGCTATAAAGGTTCAATTTACATTGTTGTATATTTATTTTAATTAGAATAATTACTTAAACACAATAATTAATGACAGTTTAATGAGAACTTATGCATGGGATTGTGTATCTAGTTCTAGTACTTTTTTGATCAGAACAGATTCGGTATTAAAACATTTGGTTGGCTGCTAGTCAATACGACAATATACCATAATAAAATATGAAAACATCAGTAAAATACTGAGTAAATTATTGATATATTATTTCAATAACTTAAAGTTAGATTTTATATTATAGTCGTGCAATATCTATTATTACATGAGATTTGATTAATAGAATACTACTATTTCTAAAATAGCCAATAGATACATACGATATATATGCAGGAATTTCAGCTTTGTTTTTATATTTTTTCGTCCAAACCAGGATAAACTTCTGAAATTCGTTCGGTTTATATCTTGGAGATATCGTACTGCTCGTAGATTTCTTGGAACCACTTGGTGATGTGCACATATATCTTCTTAATGACCTTACAGGTGATCTAAATAAAAATATTTTTTCCATAATCCCGTTTTGCATCCACGCACTTCGTTAACCTTGAAAACTGAAGAAAATATGTCATATACTACCTTTACTATACCATTTAGAAGTCTATAAATATATATGGAATTATTACAACCTTTACACCTACCTTCGATTACTTTTAGAACTGTCATACTGACATAAGGCCTAGTCTTTACATACAAAATCGAATAGTAATAAAATATCTTAGCGTCCGTCGCTATAATATTATTATTTACATATATACGAACAACGTTTCTTTTAGTTTATTTTGGTCTATAATTAATAACATTCAAGTGTTATATTTCAATCAATTTATGAGTGTTTTATGTACTTATAAACTGGTCTATTTTTTATTTCCCCTTATTATTATATGAATTTGAAAATGAAAATAATTACTTTTATTTGAAGAAGAAAGGTTTTTATATTAACATTATGACTGTAGTTGTACCAATAAATAAGTGCAAAAATTTTTTTTAGAAATTATTCAATATAAAAAGTGACAATCTAAGTGAGCTAGGTTATTTTATTGAATTTAAAAGCAATAAGCTCGTTACTATAGTTTTTTGTACTAAGCAAGACTCACTGTGTGTTCTAAGATTAAAAAAAGTGTAAACCAGAATCTATTGCAAATACTGCATTTTGACTATTAAAAAGTAATTTACGTTCTATGACGTGATCTTCAATAAATTGAATTGAATTAGAATAGAATTTTTAAAGTAATAGATGGTGGATTGATTGTTCATTATTTTGTGTATATAATTACAGCCTACTTCAGTAAGTATTTGTATTATTTTCAGTATTAAAGTTAAATCATTGATATAAAAATCGACGTCATTATTGGTATAAATGTGAGCAATATGTATTTTTGATTGTAATAAATTGTATATGTTTTACTGTATCTTTCATTCTTTAAGATATTTGCCTTGAAATTGGAAATTTGTTTTCGAATACTGCATTCTTAGTCCTATTGTTTTTTATTTTTTTGGCCTTAGCAGATTATCCTTGATTTTGCAAGTTGATTATAGTTGACATTTGTGCAATTTGTTTCCATTTGTGCTTAAACTTTTCATGAAGTTATCAAATTTTATTAGGTTGATATAAAATTCAGTAACTTTATAAAACAAGTATTGTTATAAGAATAAAAATTGGTATAATAATTTATTGTAAACTTACATTCTATAAATATCTATAAAAATATTTTGTGCTTCAATTGCTCCAAGCTCAATGATACCATAGTGTGTCATTTATTTATTTATGAATTTTATCATAATTTTTCTTTATTTTTATATTTACTTTCATACTGCATAATATGAATTGTATAATTTAAATGTAAACATGTACAAACATTTTAATTGTATTAAAAATATAGTGAATTTATTTAAAATGAATCGCTGAATGTGTTGCTAAGGGCAAATCTCGAGAGCAGCTGAACCGATTTCGCTTATTCTTTTTTAAGAATATTTCTTGAAGTACGAGGATGGTTCTTATGGAGAGAAAAAATTGCCTGAAAAAGGCTAAAAAGAACTCTCTTTTCTATACTCCCATACAAAAGATTCATAATAATACTTAAAAGTCAATTTGAACTTTAATACCATACCATAAAGTTTAAGTGTTAGTGGAGAGCTTCCGGGAAGGCAAAACAATTGAGTGACGTTCGTATCAAAAAATATTAATGTCAATATTTGTCAATATACAATGGTAACATTACTCAAAAACAAATCTATACAGATAAATTAAATTGAAGTGTCTATTTGAAATATGAAAATAACAGCTCTTTACTAAATGCATATGGATATATACACTATACCAAAACAACATTTTTTACGATTTTCGTCTGTCTGTCTGTTTGTTCCGGCTAATCTCTGAAATGGCTTAACCGATTTTGATGGGACTTTCACTGGCAGATAGCTGATGTAATAAGGAGTAACTAGTAGTAGTAGTAGTAGTAGGCTACTTTTATTTTAGAAAAAAAATAGGGTCTCCATAAAAGAAATTAAAACCAATAAAAAGTTTAATAATATCTGATTCAAATAAGGAAGTTCTATAGGGTGTCTATATAGGGTGAGTTGCTAGTAAGTAATTAAAATACCTTTTGTGGATTATATTTCTAGATAAAATGTTTAAAAATGTACTTTGATATTTTCAGGTGTGTGTAGTTATATCAATTAATTCTTGATTTACATGATCATTTTTAATTTGATCTAAATACATTGTAAATTGTTTAAAATTGCATTTTAATATTTCTATTCAAAAGCAATAAAACCAAATCCTATTCATATATATATAGATTAATATGGTGTGTTGTGTAAAGTATCAGATTCCTCTTTGATGAGATCCTCCCTCCAGATATTGTTTGCTATAAGAAAGTAATTTGTTCGCTATTTAACCTTGGCGTTAAAAACTTGAAGTCCTCCAATGTTGCAATAAAAATTTCGCAATATACTACAATTCAATTTTGTTCGTTTGTTTGTTCGGTTTTCTATTTTACGTACATATATTGGGGCGTCGTGAAACAGGTACATCAACACATGTATATGTACATCTGCAACAATTTGATGTTTCTGAAGCGAACTAAGTACATTTCACCGTTACATTCCAGTATACACCCATCACATCGAATTAGATATAATTTTTCGTCAAAATAAGCTTCTTTGAGAAGGCGGAAAATTGAAGCTTTTAGCGAGACGATTTAAAACAACGTGTCCCAACAGTATCTTAGATAAACATCTACTAGTAATATTCAATAAGTGTTAAAAAATTTTTTAATATGAGTTATCCGGTTAGTTATCCGGTGGATTTTGGTGCTGTGTTTTTGCGAATAACAAGTTTTACTAGAGGTATATATAGGTATTCCATTACCGATTGTCTTTCCATCTTTAGGTTTGCTGACTGCACACTCGATGACAATACCTTGTATTAGTAGTTATTTTACATTGTTTCAGCTTAGATTAATTTATTTTCCGTAAAAAACTGCTAGTGGTTTTTTTTATCTACCAGAACAGTAGGCATAAGCGATACACAGCTAACGTTAACGGTCGTTGAGTTATAGCTGCTTTCTCTCTTTTAATTTTTGAAAGAGAGAATGCTGTAATGAAATAAAAAAGTTCAAAAGAGTTAATTCGAACTTATTGCTTATTATATTATGTGAATATGTATTTGTGTGTGTATGTTTGTTACTCCTTCACACTGAAACGACTGGACGGATTTGGATGAAATTTAATACGCAGACTATAACTTGAAGAAGCATATAGGCACAGTAAGGCACCTTTAGGACTCACCTGAGTAAAGCATGGATAACTTACTAGTCTAAAGATATTTTTTATGTTTATATAGATGTCTGGAGGTCACAAGCATCGTTACAAGAATGCAGGGCTCAGTGCTGACGAGTTGCGTCGTCGGCGAGAAGAGGAGGGCGTTCAACTACGAAAACAAAAAAGGGAACAACAACTTTTTAAAAGAAGAAACGTCAACTTGCCCGCGCCCAATGCCCCTGACATAGCACTTCAAGTAACAAAAGTTTTTATGAAAATCTTTTCCCTGAAATTTATTCTAGAACCAGAAAGGAAAATTACCTTAATAATATTTTTTTAAATTGCTTGGCGTTAATATAATACTTAGTTATAGAAGTATTTTGTTTTTTTTTTCATTAGCAAGTGCCCGAAGGCACTCCTAGAAGCCTTGAAACTAAAGGATTGAATTGAATTAATATCAAGTAACAACTTAGGTAGAGAGAACATATTCACAGAAATCTTCATTGTCAATCCCCTAATTTAATGCTATAATTCAAGTATGTCTAATTGTAAAATTAAAAAATCTAACATCACACTACTTAGTTACTGAGCTATTCTAAATAAAGTACGTGATTGGAGCCATGAACAAAAATTAGTGATTTTGATATATACATAAGTACAGTGTATTAGCGTTTGTCCGCGGCTGCGCCCGCGTTGTTTTGTTTATTTATTTGCGTATATGACGAACAAGCAAACTTTTCAGCTTTATAGATATAATATTTATTTGGTACAGTTGTTTATTATGAAGGTATTTGTTACAGGAGGACATCACAGTCTCGTCATCAGATGACATCACGCCGGCGATGGTGGCCGCTCTCTTAGGCGATAACCCACAAGAACAAGTTTCAGCCACACAGAAGTTTAGAAAACTTTTAAGTCGGGAACCCAATCCACCTATTGAAGAAGTGATACGGACTGGCATAGTTCCTAAATTTGTTGAATTTCTTACAAATAGTGCTAATCCTACGTTACAGGTATGAATCATATTCACAGTTAAAACACATGAAAATAATGTCTTTTTGTGTTAGAGTGTCAGTGCTTTAAACTTATATCTTTAAACGAGCAATTCTTGTATATATTTATTATATATAATCTGAATCTCGGAAACGGCTCCAACAATTTTCACGAAATTTAGCATGCAGGGGGTTTCGGGGGCGATAAATCGATCTAGATTAGTTTTACGTCTGAGAAAACACGTGTTTTCGAGTTTTTATGCAGTATTATTTTGCTTTATTCCACGCTAAATATGGTCGGTAATTTGCACGCTTGGGGATAAGCATCGTGGTCAAGTGGCCAAGGCGTAAAGTCCAGGTTAGATTCTCGGTCGCATACATAGTTTTTACTTTTTTTTATATTTATTCAAGTTTTTAGTTTAAAAAAAAAAGAAAATTGTACTTCAGTCCAAAAACTCCGAGCGAAGCTCGGTAGCTCAGGTACTAATGATAATTATAGTAATAATTTTTATATTTGTAATTCTGAACATTGTGAACGTTAAGAAGAATTAAGAAGTTCGGAATAAGTGTAAATATGAAGAAAATGTTAATTAGGTACTTATATTCAATTAATTAATAACAATATTTTTTTGTTTTTCGGGGACTCTAACCAAATCAGTGATGTACCAAACTAGCCACCAACTCTTCAAGAAATGTTAATTTTGGATTAATTTCAATCATTTATTTAAAACTATTTGAGCTGTTTCCTCAATGGGCTTAATGCTGTAATGTCTTTATAAATTAAAATGATATAAGTTGATACTATATCATATAGCATCTTACTAAATGGTTACTCTCGCAACTTGACATATCCAAACTAGACATTTTCAATTCTCAATTCTCAATTTAAATTCGCTTACAAAATCCTCAATAACAATCATAATAAACCTTGCAATTAATTGCTTGATTCCTAGGCAATGGACCCTACCACAGAAGGGTAAATATCCTACTGTATTCTAAACTTTCTGTAAGTAGATGTCCAAAAATATATATTCGTAAATACATCTATCTAGTAACTACAAAATACAAATACAAATGCCTTTATTGCTGATATAAACTACAATTATTTCTTATATTATTTAAACAACACATCAGTAATCGCATCAGCGTGTCCTGTTAACACATAGGCCTCCTGCAGCCTCTTCCATTCATATCTATCTCTGGCCACCCTGAGCCATAGTGATCCAGCTACCATACTGATATCATCTGACCATCTTTTGAGCTTTCTTCCACGTTTTCTTTTGGTATTGAACCTAGGAGTCGATTGCGTCGTCCTCTTTGTCCATTTCTCCCTCTTTGTCGTTTCTCTCATGTTACCTGCCCACCTCCATTTTAGATGTTTAGTTTTCAATACGACATAGGATGCTTCCATGCTTCACTATCTAGTAACTACCCTCTTTCATATGGATTGTTCATATCGCCAGTTCGAAGCGGCGTGGGCGTTAACGAACATAGCGTCAGGGTCGTCAGAACAGACTCGGGTGGTGGTAGAGAGCGGGGCGGTGCCGGTGCTGGTGGCGCTGGCGGGGTCGGGCAGTAGTGACGACGTGCGCGAGCAGGCGGTGTGGGCGCTGGGCAACGTGGCCGGCGACTCGGCCAGGTGTAGGGACGCGGTGCTCGCCGCTGGCCTGCTGCCGCCCTTGTTGGAGTGAGTTGGATATGTATATATAAATTTTTTTGAGCGGAACTTTAATTCTTTTTCTAAAATAAAAGTAGCCTATGTTACTCCCTATAACATCAAATATCTTCCAGTAAAAGTCCCGTCAAAATCAGACCAGCCGTTTCAAAGATTATCCGGAACAAATAGACAGACGAAAATTAAAAAAAAATGTGTTTTTCTTGTAAGTACTGTATATAGTTTTATATGAATTTAGTAAAAAGCTGTTATTTTGTAATTACAAACAGACACTTCAATTTTATTTATCTATATAGATGTGAAAGTGTGTTTGTTTGTTTGTACTTCTTTCACGTCGAAACTGAGTGAGGGATTGGCGTGATTTTTTGTGTGGAAACAGTTGGAGGGCTAGAAAGTGACATAGGATACTTTTTACCGCGGGAGACTATGTTATAGTACAAACCACAACAATATATTACAAGTAGTATTTAAACGAAACGAAAGTAATTTTGTCATCAGAAAGGAATAAATAAAAGAGATTTAAAAAAGTGCACAATTTCGAATGGTGTGCTTCTTTTTGAGGACAATTTTGAGACGCTGATTGTGTATCTTGAATTTTTGTACATCAATGCCCTAGTGCTCATTTGTTCAAACGACCAATACTTATCGTTCTTTAAAGTAGAGAGTTTTTTTTTTCTATTTTAAAAACTAAAGTTTTGTTTCTAAGATTTATGTACACATTATAATATAGATAAAATACATCTTTTTACCTTATTTAAAGGTGTTTCAGCTTATTTAAATGTTATTTCGATCAGAATATCTGATCGAAATAAATGAGATTAATGTTTCAATGTCAAAAAATCTGGTGGGTTAATACTTATGAGCGGTAGTGTGTATGTGTATATATATAATAAATATATTTAGTTTAATTTTATTATAAAATAAATTTCCCGCACATATTTTTTTTCAGTATTTTAAATAAATATTCAAGACTATCCATGACAAGAAACGCCGTGTGGACACTGTCAAATCTCTGTAGAGGCAAAAATCCTCCTACGAACTTCGAAGCTGTAGCACCAGGTAAATAATGTTAGATTTTATCTATATCGATAATTTAATCCGATTATGGTGAAACTTTGCTGATTGTAGTCTGTTTCTGTTTTACTGACTTAGTCCTATTTTTTATTTACTCATTGATACTTCAATTGATCTCTGTTAAATTATTGATCATTTGGTTGATTGTATTCAGCCCTTTTTAATGTCCCACTGCTGAGCACGGGCGTCCTTTCAATACGAGGGGATCAGGCCATAGTCCACCACGCTGGCCAAGTGCGGGTTGGCAGACTTCACATGTCTTTCGAAAACTTGCTAGGTTCTCTCAGACATGCAGGTTCCCTCACAATGTTTTCCTTCACCGTAACACAAGTGGTAATCATGTTAGAAATGATTTGCACATGAAAATATCAGAGGTGCGAGACCCGGGATTTGAACTCGCTTCACTCGGTTTTCTAAGCGAGCGCGTTGCCACTGGGCTACCACTGCCTTTAGTATGATTATTGTTATATAAATAATACTAAACTAGTGTTCCGCTTCTGATTAGTATTATTATAGAGACCAAACGATGGACACACAGTTTTACAGTATATTATTGTCATTTATCTATACATATAATAAAATTGTAACCAAGCCGAATCTGTACATTAAATCATTAAATATTTTTTGGAAAATCTTATTGAAATAAACATTATTATCGGTACAGAGGCTGAATCTATAGTTTTTAGAATTTATATCTGTCTGTCTAATAATATATAATTGTATAATAGCCTTTAGCACACAAACGTTCTTTAACAATTTTTTTGAATTTGGCGATAGAAGCTTTCTGAACATTTTCTGGGAACCTTTTGTATAAGTGTATATACATTGTCCATAAAAAGATGTACTGACTCATATTTATTTATTTCCATGTCCCCAGGTATCCCGGTGCTGGCGCGCCTGCTGCACCACACGGACGCGGACGTGCTGAGCGACGCGTGCTGGGCGCTCTCCTACCTGTCGGACGGGCCCAACGAGAAGATACAGGCCGTCATCGACGCGGGCGTGTGTCGGCGGCTCGTCGAGCTGCTCATGTGAGTGTGAACGCGTGTTTTGTATATACATTTATACGTATGTATTTATTATGTATGTAATTTTGTATGTATATGTACATACATATATATGTATATCTGTTTTATATATTTATTTATGTCTGTATATATTTAAACATGTATGTACATGTGCGTGTGTGGTGAATTGCTAAATTAGATATTTTCCATAACAGCTAGCTGTATTACAAAACGGCTAGCCATTTTACATAACACCTAGCTTTTTTACAAATCGGCTCTGTTACGTAAAATTGCTGAACGATGTTTAGCCTTTTTTTTATATGTACTTAACTTTAATACGCAAAATTGCATGAATATTTTGTATTTATCAACGCAGCGGGTCAATCATTAGAGGTTGTGTCAGTTTGTAGATTTTAATACTTTTTTTATTTATTGCTTAGGTGACGTTTTTTTTTATTTCAAACCCAACACCTCTACTATCAAAAACTAGTAGCGCAGTGGTAATCCAGCTAAACACTGTTCAGCTGTATTATATAATGAAGCTGTTTTGTAAAAAAAAACTAATGATTTTTATAACAACTGATTCGGCAATCTATCTGCGACATACATATTGTTTACAATGCATAAATGGTTATTAACTGGTTATATAAATAAGCTCGTTCACATGTAAGGAATAGGGGGGTGAAATTTATTCTTGCTCTTGCTGGTAATGGAGTGGAAACGGATGGGATAAATTTCAACTACCATAACAAAATTAAAATTAAAAATAATTAGAAAAATTAAAGGGAGAAAGATATTTTGATGAGTAAATGAGGCTCGATGAAGAGGGGCTGCTAATAATCAAAGCTATATGAAAATCAAAAGTAGCTCATTTACATTGTTCGTTTAATTGTTCATTTTAAGATTATATTCAAATGTTATCAATAAATGATTCAATATATCTTACGTCATATCGAGGCGCGCCTAAATTCGTAATACGGTCGTCTTAATAGCGAAAATATAGTATTTTCATTAGTGAATCGTGTTTTATTTAGTTGAGACATCCCCATCACACCCGGAGCCTTGGTATTCAAAACAATTCTAACATTCATGTTTTATGAAGTTTTCCAAAAACCAACTGTCTTATCACATTTTACTCTCCTAGTATATAATTTACTTGTATTAAGTTATAAAATGTTGAAATTTCTTACATATTATTCGAAGTCCCCTAGTAAGGGGTTATTCAATAGTTATGTAAGGACAGTTTTGGCCATTTTTGATCTCTACCCCCATGTAAGAGCACATAAGATTTCTCGTACTCTCCCTCCTCTTCTTACGTAAGATTTTATCTGGTTTTAAACAAGGATCAATTTCACGAAAACTCATATTATTTGAAGTAAATCTATGATTTTTACTTTTAAAATTTTACATTAAAAAAGAAAATAGATCCCAGAGATGTTTGTCCCAACGCTTAGCTTTCAAATGTCCATCATTCTGTTAGAAATCGCACATTTCGACTTATAAAATATTACGTGAGAATGGCTTTCACCCCCCCATGATTTCGAGAACCCCTCCTCCCCCACAGGACCCTCACGTGATTAATGAACCTCCCCTAACGTACGTACCCGGCAGGCACACGAAGTACAACCTGGTGTCGGCGGCGCTGCGCGCGGTGGGCAACATCGTGACGGGCAACGACGCGCAGACGCAGGCGGTGCTGAACTGCGCGCCGCTGCCGGCGCTGCACGCGCTGCTGCGCTCGCCCACCGAGGCGCTGCGCAAGGAGGCCTGCTGGACGCTCTCCAACATCACCGCCGGCAACGCCGCGCAGATACAGGTATACACGGACAGACGGACGGCCGACTTTGGGAAACTGGAAATCTTTTTTTTATATCAATCTTATTTTGATTTTTTGTTTTGCCGGCGACGCGGCCCAAATACGGGTACCGACGTACAGACAGACAGACAGACAGGGGCAACGTTGGGAAATGCGTTTTTTCCCTATTTTTTATTTAACCATTATTGATTACGTTATGTTTATTCACTTTCAGGCTGTGATAGACGCGAACATTTTCCCAGCTCTAATAGATATATTAAGAAATGCTGAATTCAAAACAAGAAAAGAAGCTGCGTGGGCGATAACGAACGCCACAAGTGGTGGATCACATGCCCAAATTAGGTAATAATACTTTTAAATACAGCAAAAAAATACTACGACGTACATAACATTTTATATATTAGATATAAATCTAATATATAAAATTCTCGTATCACAGTGTTTGTAACAAAACTCCTCTGAAACGGCATGACCGATTCTTATGAAATTTTGTGTGTATTTCAGTAATTCAGTAGGTCTGAGAATGGGACGTAAACTATTATTCATATCTCTAAATTATGATAAGGGTAGTTCACTTTTTAACTTTTTTTTTGACAAAATTTTTTTTGTAAATTTTTATGATTCCGCATTAGAATTAAGATGACACGAAGGAGATTGGTCGGTAAATTAATATCATTAAAATGGTAGAAAAAGTTTGTGAATTAGCAACATGTTAACTATAGATACTTAAATGTCATGCGTTACCATGGTAACGTATAAACAAACGAATTACGTAACCATGGAAATATTTAAGAGCTTGTTTCTATATATTTTAATCTCCCTTATGTTCTCTGTGACATTGCCGAAGTAATTTGTACTTTACTGGGTAATTTTAAAGCTAAGAAATTTGTATATATTTTAAGGCAGTGGTAGCCCTGAGGTAGTACGCTCGCTTGGGAAACCTAGTGAAGCGAGCTCAAATCCTGGGTGTCGCACCTTTGATAAATTCATGTGCGAATCATTTCTAACATGATTACCACTTGTGTTACGGTGAAGGAAAACATCGTGAGGAAACCTACATGTCTGAGACAACCTAGCAAGTTTTCGAAAGATATGCTCAGTGTGCCCGCACTTGGCCAGCGTGGTGAACTATGGCTTGATCCCCGTCGTATTGAAAGGAGTCCCGTGCCCAGCAGTGGGATGTTAAAAAGAGCTGAATATATTTAGACGACACGTTTGGCGCAGTTAGTGACCCTACTTGCTGTGCCAGCGGTCGCGGGGTTCGAGTCCCGCTGGGGGCATTCATTCGTGTCATGAACACGAATGTTTATACTCCAGTCATGGGTGTTTATATATATAGTATGTATGTATTTAAAGTTATATATGTGTAGTGTATCAACTATCTGGTATCCATAACACAAGCCTTGTAGTTTAAAATGGAACTAGATGGTGTTGTGTGTTAGTGTCCCAACATGTTTATTTATTTATAATACATACATATATTTTTATGTTTTATCTCCTCAGCTACCTAGTAGAGCAAGGCTGTATACCACCACTATGTGATTTGCTGACTCTCACCGATACAAAGACAGTGCAAGTGGCTCTCAACGGCTTAGACAATATATTAAAGGCAGGCCAGCAAGCGGACCAACGGGACAACCCCTATGCTGTGCTCATCGAAGAGTGCTTTGGTATGTTATAGTGTATCTCAGAATAAGGAATAATATTGACAGTGTCATTGAACTAAACATAAAGCTAAATCTTAATGTTTTATAATAGTATACAAATGACAATTTGTGTACTGAGTGACAAGTAATCTGTAGTCTGTAGTATGACCATGATTGCTGTGAAGCATTCGAAATGTTCAGGAACCAAAAATCAAATTGAATCTGCGAAAAGATTTTATTTTAAAATGTCAAATACTCGCGTAAATATAAGAAAGTATTAACTTATCAGAGGAGTAGTATAATAAAAATAGTTACGGGTAAACGGATTCAATTTAAAAAAAAATTAGTTAATATTATGCCATTTCTCTTTTAAAGGGAAGAGAGATAATGCTTAAAAAATATAAAAGAAAATAGTATTATTTCTGGTATTCATATTTTCATTATAAAGCGCTATAAAATCTTTTATGTTATTTAATAAAATCCAATAAAGCGTTATTGGTAAGAGGTATGTAATATGTATGACTAGCGGCTTACCCTCGCTCCGCTCGGGTGCGTCAATATATTAAATATTATTTTTTTATTTAGAAAAAACACTAACAACAAACATATTTAAACATTTATATACATTTAGACGACAATAATAATTAATTAATCAGATATGTATGTCTTTACACGTGTACATAATATTCACTATAATTACATAATCAAAAGTATAAAATTATAATAAATTCCTAATATATAATTAATAAATACAAGTCAAATACAATAAAAATGATTCATAAGTAGTCTACATCTTTCAGCTATAATAATTAATTTAAATAATGTTAAAAAAACTCAATATAAATAGTTATTGCGAGTACCTTAGGAAATAAGGAGTCTGCCCACTACACCGTCCCATACCACGACCATGCTAGGACAGTGTCAGGCAAAAATTTTCTTTGTATTGAAAAGTATGAGACTGCCCACTAGACCGTTCCGCCACCGAGCGGCGGGCGCGGTGCGCGCGTACGGCGCTATCGTGAGCATGTAACGCAGCACTAAAACCGTTATGTACGGGTATGATCAGGGCTGCCAAATCGTATAATTGAATACGAAAATTGTAAAATATGGTTATTTTATGTATATTTTATTTTAAGTTATTGCGACTTTTCTGTAGGCCTTTTTAAGGTAAACCTTGTTGAAACTAATATGTTTAACCAGTTTTGCCATAGTATATATGGTTAGATTACGACTACTATTAGAAGCGCGTTTATTGAATAGCAACATCTTAACCTAAGTAATCGAGAACCTTATAAAGTATCATAATATAAGGCTCGGCGCACACTACATCGGCATCCATCCATCTAAACTCTGGCATTTATAATGCATATTTTATAGAACTATTGTATATATATATTTACAGGTGTGGACAAAATCGAGTTCCTCCAGTCGCACGAGAACATGGACATATACCAGAAGTCGTTTGAGATAATAGAGAATTACTTCGGGTCTGAGGGCGAGGACGGGCGCGTGGCGCCGGACGCGGCCGCCACGCACTTCGCCTTCAACGCCGACCACTCCGTGCCTATGGGCGGCTACCAGTTCTGACGTGTGGGATGCTTCTATTGTGCAGTGAGTTTAATAATATTATTTTTTATCTATTTAAAAAAAACGATTCAAAAAAATTTACATGTATTATATATGTGTATGTAATACACAGATAGACAGACATGTGTGTATAAAATTTCATCCAAATTCGTCCAGTCGTTTTAACTTGAAGGAAATTTATACAACTATAACAAAAAAATGTGTGCGTGTAATCTTTATATTCGGTTGAAGTAAAACTTCTTTGGCAAATATCGCAATTAAAACAATTAATCAATAATTAAATAAGGCTTGTTAGGCATATTACAATCATATATTTATAGAATATCGTATACCGAAAGTATATAGTATTATATATTTGTCAGACAATAACAACGGTTACCATGGTAACATGGCAATGTATTCTATCTCATTCTATCGCTGGCTTAATCCTATATATTTATGTGTTGGTCTTTTTCTCTTGTCGCATTCCCGTTTCATCGAGTTCTAAAGAAGTTTCACTACAACTAGTTCAGACTTACCGCCTAAATTTTTTTAGTATTTATAATATTGTATACAGAAGCTAAGTTTTACTATAGGTAATTATAGTGTATCTGTGTACTAAATTTCATATAAATCTGTCCGGCCTTTGCAGCGTGAATAAAATACAAAACACACAAACTTACTCATTTATTTATAACAGTTGTGTGATTTAAAAATATATATTGTTTTTTAAATAAAAAATGTTTTTTTTTTATGTTTGGTTATTTTAATTTGATCAGATATAATCGATCGAATCACTTTTTTAAATTATTCCATAGTGTAATTTGATCAAATTCAAATTAAACAAATAAATATACATATTCGAAAACGTGAATTGTAGGTTTGTAAAGTATAATTTATTAAAAAAATTTTTAGAATTATTAATTAAATTTCCAGATGCCTATCAAGACCGCGGTCTCTGCGGCGCTCGTGAACTTGACTTGACTCGAATCCAGAGTAAATATATATTTGCACCTATTATGCTGTAGATTAGATCATTATATTATTTATATCGCAAATTATATAAAAAAATAATCTCGCCTCTATTATTTTCGCTATTGTAGATAACGGCATAACTAGCTCATTTGTTCATTGTAAAAAATGTTTATTGGCTTCCATGTCACTGATGAATCCGGACCCTTCATGTTGTTATGTGATAAAACGACAATTCGTTATAATGAATTAAATTGATACCAACACGAAATTGACTGGTGTTTCATTTTTTTAATATCTTCATTTTTAGTGACCGACCGAAAGTTCGGTTTCGGTTTCGACCGAAAGTGAGGCCGAAGCCGAATGTTCGGTTTAGGCTTCAAATCCTGTTTCGGTTGAACACTACTTATTTCCTAATTTCTGAGTAGTTGAGGTTTAATGTTATAAACTATTTGGAGTCATCATGGCGAGAATGGTCAAAACAATCTATTTTGAAAATTTTAATTGTTAGATTATTATTATTAAAATGATCTGTTTAATGTATAATTTTTTACTCATTTCATATTTGCTTAACTGCTAATGTAATATATGTTTGTCCATTTTTTAATTAACTTGTTGAAAACCTCATATCAGTATTTCAATGTATGTACATACATATAATATATAATCTGTTTATTTTATTGCTACGTCAGGTTTGTATAAGAAAAGCGCACCAGACCTGCATAAGGCTCGTATAATTCGTTCATTTATTACACTATACATTTTCCCAAAGAATAAAAGTGATATGTTATGATATTGTCATTGAATATCTTAACCCTATTAATATAGTTTTTTTAAAATATTATTTATATGGGACCACTTTTATATTTTACATATAAAACATTAAGAAAAACAATACTTACTTAGATTTACGCGAATATTTGACATTTTAAACAAAACTATCGTTTCGGATTTGTTCGCAGATTTATTTTAAACTTCGGGAACCAAAAATAAATCCGCTAAAAATTCCGAAAAGATAGTTTTATTTAAGAAATTCACTTCAAATACAATAAAATTAGTTTAAATAACATATTTATTGAAAAAAAAAAACAAAAATTGACTGACAATTAGCGAAGTGATGGTGTAACATAAAAACAAAAAAAAAACCTTGCCATCAGAGAAAACAAGAACCAAGAACAGAGTCATCTAGTGTCTTTTTTCAGTATGAGACACATCACAGACGTTTTGTCGTGCCTATTTTTTGTTCAGTTTATTTATAGTGATTTTCTTTTTTAATTGTGCAATTACAATCTTGCTTTTTGTCAAAATATAGTTTCTTAAAAAGCCATATATTTAGGCCACAGACAATGTAATTTTATAATAGTGCAGATATCTCATCCTATACACAGAATGATGCCTAATTCGGCCCATTTTTATTTTCTTAATTAGATGACAGATGGCGTTGATCCTTAAATTTTTGAACTATTTTATATTTCTATTGAAATATGTCGACAAATGCAGTTAAATTAACATTTAATAAAACTTGTGGCATTTAATCTCATTATCTAGTATTATATATAATGGCCGATTTTTAAATCATCAATAAAATTACAAGAATTAGATTCGAGAACGCTCTATCAATCATTTCCATTACTTTAAGATTACATATCGAAATAAAAACATACCTTTTTGGATCTACTTTTATTATAACACATCAATATAACGCCATCTATTGATATTTATTTGACCTAATTTATCTTTCCTGACGAGATCCCATGACACTACCACACTCTAGCTTCGCCCAACTATGTAATGTGATACACCATTGAAGAGTTCCACTACCAGCTCCTGGCTCCGTCGTCAGATCAGCTCCAAGATATCATATTATAATATCATCCGAACTTTATAAACATTAGAGATGCCGCTAATAATCGTCGCAACGAAGTCATTTCGACATTAAAGTTTGATTATTTTTGAATTCTATAGTTTTTTTTTGTTCAATAAAAGTTTATTTTAGACAACTATTCGCCGAATGTAGAATAATACTGGCTATTATTCTGTATTCGATGAATAACAAAAAAAATATCGAGTAATGCCGAATACCGAATAAAAGCGTGTATTCACGGCTCCTCTAATAAACATAAGTTTCATTTTGATAAGACAATAATTAGAAGAAGGTTAAAATTGACTTCCAAGATTTGATTAACTTAACTACAAGAGAAGTTAATATATGCGTGTATTAAATAAAAACATACAAAAAAGAACAACAAATTGAGAACGTTCGGTCAAATACGGACCTAATTTTTATTAGATGTAGTAGCTAATTTCAAATAAAACGACTGTTTTTATAGTTTCGTTATTTATTTTCAATATCAAAACATTAATAGTGCAATAACTCTGAGTAAAAAGTTTGGTATAGATATTATTGACAAGTTTCATGAATAGAATTTATTTGAAAACAAATATGTATGTATATGTCACAGGTAAATTGGAAAAACCAGTAAAAATTATAACTGCCAGGAGTTTTGTCAATCGTTTCCTTCTCTTACAATATCACGGGGGAATGTTAGGTATATTACAATTTTATTAGTGAAATTATAATTTTACGGTTTTTTACTATTTCCCTGCGACATATACATATAATGTTAACAATAACAGCCTTTTATACTTAGAACAAGTTGCATGCGTTTATATGTTATTTAAAATATAATCTCTGTAATAATGTAACAGATTGATTAACTAATCAATATAATTTATATAACATCGATAAATAACAGTTATTTCTATTTTATACATTTAAAAATAACAATCAAAAAATTAATGCATTATCTTAGTCAATTTTTTTTAAAGGCACTTATTCCTATTATGTATATAGGATTAAGATTAACAATCTTCCCAGAGGTTCATTTGTTTCCAAGTTTACCAAAGTATAGTTAATTGACGCCTCATTGGGGGGCTATCATGTAGGTCGCTCCTTCCTTTAAACTACTTATCTGATAGCAGAGTGGACCGTGGGAACACCCCATGGTTATTGCGGTCTGCTCGGCAGACCTGCCGTCGGGGCGTCGTGGTTGAGAGCGATCCTGCGACGCCCCATTACGACGGGCGAGGTTCTGTTGGGTTTTAATGGGTAGTACCGGCTTCTCTAGCCAGTGAGCGTCCACATAATCACCTGTATGTATGCCGGTGGTATGCGTCAATGCATGTCCCAACGTTAAAAAAGTTCAGTTAAATAAAAAAACCGTCAAAACCATTATTATAATTAGATCGAGTACTTATCTACATATACATAATATGTACCTATATGGTTCATATATGTAGATAGGTACTCGATCTAATCTATTTAAGTGCAATTAATTTACTGGCGCTGTTATATAATGTTAAATATATTTTTAGGTGTTAAATGATTATTACCCGTAAATTAATTATTATTGTTACTAAATAAGGAACGTGATTACAAATTACAGCTCACTTAACATGTACCTACGGCTTTATATCGCTAATAAAGTTATAATAATTAAAATGTATCTCACTGGTATTAAATGTTTTTTTTTTTAAAAGTGGGTGTGTGTGCAATTCACACATGGTAGAGGTGAAACTTCAGAGAAGTAACCTACGAGAATGAGATGAATATAGAGTAACAGGAGTAGGATAATTATAAGGTTTATGTTTTTTTAATAATATTTTTACCAATTTTAAAAGTTATTTTACATTATATTTGACAAATATACATAACATATTATTCAGTATCTAATAAATTTTATTATTTTTCACTTCCTGTGTAATGTATTCTATCTCATTCTCTCGCCGGCTTAATCCTATATATTTTTGTGTGTTGTCTCTTTCTAGTGTCGCATTTCCGTTTCGTCGAGTTTCAAATCACAACGATTCTAAAGAAGTTTCACTTCAATTATTTTAAAACTTAAGTAAAGCAACGTAATCAGACTATGTTATATGTCAAAGTTTTTATGTTTGTTGCTCCTTCACGCTGTGACGACAGGACGAATTTTGATGAATTTTAATACATTGAGACTGAGCTGGAGTAACACAGGCTACTGTTAGGCAGACAAGGACGCACCCAAGCGAAGTAAGGTCGCTAGTATATAATATTTTAAGCAACATCGTTATGTTCTAAGGGACTGTGGTAGTGGGTATAGCACTATAGACTGCGATATTTCGCGTCAATAAAGATGGCGCTATTTATACTAGCAATCAGTTAATTATAGGATTTAATGACAAAATCAGTTTTATCTTATTAGATTTTGACGGATTTGATAAAACACTGAACTTTTATAGGATAATTTTCCCGTTATTTAATTTAGGAAAAAATGTGGTATATTATATTTTTATCTGTAAATGAAAGTATTTATTTATATATAAAAAAACACTTTAAACTCTAAAATCCGGTTTTGTCAATTAACTGTAAAATTAGATTTTTAGTTGTTTTGAAATTAACAAATAGTACAAAATGTATGAGGGATCTCATAAAAAGTATGTCAATTGATTGCTGCTGTCAAAATCCAATTGTATAATATGTTATAATAGTAGGGGAGCCCAAGAGGGGATTTTTGTAGTTACTCAAGCGCGGCAGATTAACATAAAAGAGGTTACCTTGCACTCTATTGAGTACTTTCACCATAATATAAGTCTTCTATATAAAAGGCGCGTCTAGGGAAGCCGATTAAAATATTTAAAAAATGTTTTCATAAGGTAGAAATATTTGAAACCGTCAGATTAAGGTGTGGTAGGCTAGGCATCTTAATCTGACGCGCCCCTTTATATAGAAGACTTATATTGTGGTGAAAGTACTCAATAGAGTGCAAGGTAACCTCTTTTATGTTAATCTGCCGCGCTTGAGTAACTACAGAAAATCCCCTCTTGGGCTCCCCTACTATAATCCGTATCTTATCAATATTCTTTTGAATCTGTACTTCGAACTTAAAAAATTGTAGTTTTTATTATTTATATTTTATTATATATATTTATAGTCATCACAATTACATATATCTTTAATCTGAGAAAAAGCCGTGTAAAATACATCATTCATGAAGTGTTTTGGTATAAAATATAAATAATCTATCGGTAAATTCAACATTCATAATAAAATAATAAAAAAAATATTGAAAACAAACATCAATAAATAAAATATGCAAAATTAACATTTATGAACAAACAAAAATAAGTAAATTTTAAGTTATATACAATATTAATCTTTAACTTATTCTTATCAGTTAGTACTTATGGTGAGACATCCACGTGTTGTAGTGAAACGTATATTGCCATCAAAATGCATGCAATTTCAGTTCAATTCGCAATATTCAAGGAAATTGAGTCGAGATATGAGAGATATAATTTTATATTACTTTCGAAAATAATAATTGCATTTTAATAAATATTCCAAACCAATATTCCTTGATAATATATACAGATAAATGTAATAAACAGCTTTTTACTAAGTGCATATGAAAGTATATAAGGTACTAAAAAGAAAAAGACAATTTTTAAAATTTTTGTCTGTCGTTCTGTTTGTTCCGGTTAATCTCCGAAACGGCTGGACCGATTTTGACGGAACTTTCACTGGTACAGCTGAAATAAGGAGTCATAGTCTTAGGATACTCTCATTTTAGAAAAAGTATCAGGGTTCCGCACAAAAAAATTAAAACCCATTAAATTGTGAACAAAATTCGCGTACCGAGGGACACATTCAACCGAAGCGAGGGTAAGTCGCTTATCGTCGTCAATAAAATAATTTAATTATTATTGTTATTAAGTTAGTAAGTTATTTATATTTATTCAGGTTCATCATATTACATCACGTTATCATAGTGCAAAGTACTATGATCAATGCAAAAGTTTGTATTGAATTAGAAACATACACGTCTATTACTCCTTCACGCTAAAACGACTAGACGGATTTTAATGAAATTTTGTACACAGATAGGATATGACTTGGAAACACATACGATACTGTGAGTAATTATATTTGCCTACAGGTGGCGCTGCTTGTATATCCATACTAATATTATAAATGCGAAAGTAATTTTGTTATTTTTGTACGTTTAAATCCGTCGAAACGATTTATAAGAAATTTGGTATGGAGATAATTTGAGACCCTGGTAAAGACATAGGATAGTTTTTATACCATCATCCCTTAAGGGGGTGAAAAGGGGGATGAAAGTTTTTATGGGGAATTCGATCATTTCTCAAGTAAGGCATATAAAACTCATCATACCTATGTATAAATATAATATATAGTCTATCTATTCCATACTAACCTTTAAAACGTACCTATGGACTAGAAGTATTAGATTGCAAGTATATTTACAAATACTAAATGCATCTAGAAACGCCTTTCGATTGAAGCGAGGTTACAAATAATTTTAATGTGATGATTAACTTTTAATCATTAGTTAGTTACCTGGAAGCCATTATTGAGTATGGTGTGTCCTTAACATTTAAAACGCAACGCCTATTTCATTGAAATAAACTAACGTCCTAAGAAACATATGTTCTTTGTGTAATTTTTCCCAAAATAGCATTCTTTCATAGAAAGGATTTCGCCCTTTAGTCAGTTCTGAACCGATGCTTAGATAATTCAATCTATTCTCATTTACAACTGGTTCCCATTTTATTTGCAATAGTGCATCGTCTTCATCGGGGGTTGGGTCGCTGAAAAAAACACATTTTCTTTCATTAATGATGAATAAGTACTTTATATTATATTGCAGAGATAGCCCAGTGGTAATTAGCTCGCTTGGGAAACTGAGTGAAGCGGGTTCAAATCCCGGGCCACGTACCTTGGATATTTTCATGTGCGAATAATTTGCTACATGATTACTACTTGTTTTACGCTGAAGGAAAACATCGTGAGGAAACCTGCATATCTGAAAGGACCTAGCAAGTTTTCTAAAGACGTATGTAGTCCGTAAACCCACGCTTGGTCTGATCCCCCTCGTATTGAAGAGATGTCCATGCTTAGCAGAGGGACATAACATTTTTATTTTATTCGATAAGTAAAGAAATAATTACTTATAATATATCTAATGCTCTTAACGTTTTCTTGTGGAACGTTAACAATTCTCAAACTATTTGCTAGTTTGCTTATTTAGTTTATCTTATCAGTCGAAGAACTTCAGCTATAATAACGTTAACGACTTACTCACCCATACTTAGCAAAATTCGTCCACATTTTAATTACTCTATTTCTCGTGGTTACTGAGTCCCGACTTCCTTCGCAAAACGCTGCGTTTGGCATTTTGAAGCGGAATAAAAATGAAAGTTCCGCCGAATGCCCTATAGAGTTGAGGAAGTCTAACTGTTTCGGTACAAACCACTCTCCTGCATAATTTACTATGTAGTAATATATTGGATATTCCGGTGCTACGATACTGTGTGAACGGACTGTCTTATTTACATAGTACAAAAAATAATAGTCGCTAAGCAGTTGCAAATATTGCGTTCTTGTATGCTCATTTAAATTTTCTGTACCTCTAAAGTAAAAACTTTTAAGTTGATGCCCAATTTTTTTAGACAAAGTCTCATCTAGGGCTAGCGATTTAGGGACTAATAAGGATACGTCCTTATTATACTTGTCGAAATCAGCGTAAAAATCGTTCTTTATGTATTGAAGTACAGATGCTTCGATGTTATTACTACCAATTATAATGGGCACTTTATTAAAGTTACCAGATTTTATTATCATCGCGGGATTCTTACTAAGGAACACAGGTTGCCCTTCAAACTCTGATTCAACGCACGGTTTAAACATAGCATCAAATGTTTCTCCTTCTGCGTCTTTACAAGAACTGCGTAACAATTCCGCGTATTTTTCCATAATGACTAGTGCTGGCATACTTTTTAATTCTTCTATAATTTCTAATTTGTCTTTTTTAGTTATACCCAAATGTTTTGCGAGTTCGATGGTACATTGTGTTGGATTTTTTGCTAGTGACCATCTATTTAGAGCAGTTGAGCTTTGCATGATAGCCTTATGGAATAACCCCGTGGCCATAGGAGATAGCATCATAAAATGTACCGTGGAGGCCCCCGTGCTACTACCAAATAGCGTTACATTCCCAGGGTCCCCACCAAATTTATTTATATTTTTTTGTACCCACTCCAAGGCCATAATTATGTCTTTCAACCCACTATTGCCTGGTGCGATGATATCGTTTATCGAGAGAAACCCCATAGGACCCAATCTAGAGCCGCATCTTACAAAAACTATATCCTGAGTGTTAATAAGCGTTGGATCGCAAATATTATCTATATAGTAACAATAGTTACAATTTCCTATCCAGAACATGACTGGCATTAGTTTATTAGGTTTTATATTTGGACTTGATACTTCAATATATAAGCAGTCCTCTGATCCTGTGGCCTCATCATTGAAATTCATGCTGAGAGGTAAAGGCGCCTCTTGGGTGCAATCGAGTATGTCCGTCCATGGCTTCGTTAGAGTAGGTGGCTACAACAATAATATAGGCAAATGTTTATTTTCTAATAAATGGAGTATTAATTATAATACTTGTGACAAATTTTGTTTATTATTTATAATTTTTTAGATAATAATATGTACATTATTAGGATACTAGTAACACACCCTTGCTTTTCCCTCAATAGTTAGGTAAAAGCAAGTCGAGTGAAGGTATCTGCGTCGCAATGAAATGAAATAAACTTTATTCAATTGGACTATATTAGACCTATTACAAGTGCTTTTGAAAGCATGCAATTTTTATTTCTAGATGAATTTAAAATGTTATTGCTTCTTCACTTTAGTACTAAAAAATAATCATATAAATTGGACTAGTACTCGCACAATAGATACATTAATAGATTGAATAGTGGTGAGCTAATATATCAAGCCAATCAACATAATTTTTCAGAAATGTTTTAGTAATTCACAAAACACAAGACTGCATCATAAAATAAAAATATTGAATAAGATGCCTGCTACAAAAATAGATGAATAAAATAGATATATAAATAAGATAAATCAACACTAACTGCACAAGAATCATGTAAAATTTGAAAAAAATAAATATTGTCTGGATAGGCTTTTGGATGAGAATACCATAATTTATTTCTTAACTTTTTCACCATTGAACCATAGATGGAGAATTGCCAGAGAAAGCCACCAGGATTCATCATATTTTGGGTTTAACTTCTGCATGGGAGGCTAGGTGAGAGATGTGCATATCTTAACCTTCGCTAGAAAGCTTGTGAGTAACTTTTTTTTTTGCATTTAGTCCTAAGCTGTTTGGTTCCAAATTTCAATTAAATGTGCCAATGAAGGCAAGTCATAGATAGGCACAAATGACAGTTATGATTATTATTTTACAACTATTTAATCAATTATAGTATTAATCAATATTAATGCTTATTTACATCAAAATTCATGAAAGTAAAAATAAAAAGCATTTTTTTTCCAAATTGTATTCATAAAATTTCTAAATTATATTTATAATAAGCAGAAATATGTTAAGATTATTTGAAGTTAATTTTCAATTGTACTTAGCCCCTTGCCATACATACTAGCCGTATTTAGTCCTTAAGTAAATAATTAAACTATTATCTACTGCTATAAGGCATTAGTATACAGTATAATTTAAATATTAAAAATAATATATTAAAATAAGATTTATTTACCATAAATCGCAGATTACCAAGTGGAGGCATTGCATATGGAATTCTTTTGAATTTGTAATATGTGCCTTCTTCTGACCTATCAATATATCCACATATTGGCCCATGATTTGTTTCTACAATGCAATTATTATCTTCCATTTGGGTTTTCAAAACTGGTATAGTTGTTTGCTAGAAGTGAAATGTTAAAATATTTAACTCTTAAGTGTAGCATTACAATGTTTTATTCATATTGTATCAATATATTTGAAAAACTTTCATTAAATATACATAATATATGTACCTATATTCATTTTACAAAGTACTAACAAGTTTTTAACACATTCCATTGATCAAGTTAGGTTCTATAAGCAGCAAATTTTAAAAAATAAAATATTAATATCATCTATCTATATGTTCAATAAAATGTTAAGGATTATGTTTGTCTACCAACATGTTTAAAAATAAGATATTTTATGTAAATTGAATCCAAGCAAGATTTTATAACAGGATTCTGCACTTCATATTGTGATTTTATTTGCACTGACTTCAGTGATCATTTACATAAATTTATTAAGTAAACTTGAAACCATAAACTAAAAGTATTAGCTCATTTTTAATAATAGAGGCCTTGTGGAGTCTACATGTAAATTGAAATACTTAACTAATAAGTCACCGAGGAACCTTAGTTCGGAAATGCCCAAATATAGTTCTAACCAAAGTATAAAATTTAAAATAATCCTAGAATATACTCGTAATATGAAGCAATAATTGTGTTGATGAATAACCAAGAATAAATTAAGTTTAATATTTTCTCACCAATCGTAACAAAGTTCTGTGTAGAAACAGTACACCATTTCACATATTAGAATGTTCAATTCAATTCAATTTTCTTGTTAATGGATTCAAAGTGTGCCATATTAGAATGTTATCACTGTTTTTTGTTAACTATAAAAAAACTTGACAATGACAATTTTATTATCAACACTATTCAAGGTTACCTTCATATTATCAGTCAAAGAACTGTTCAACTGAGTAATATTATTCTAATACAACGACTTTAGTGGAATATCATTTTGCCTTTAAATAAATTTGCTATCATTTTGACACTAGATTTAAGATAATTTTGCTATCATTTTGACATTTTTGACATTAAATATTTTAAAAGTTACAACTACATTGAAAGATTATAGTGATTGCTGCTCGATAGGCCACAATCGATAGTGTAAAAGTTATCTTGGCAATAACAAGAATATCGATATTATCGATACTATTGATAACATAAAATAACTATAGTATCGACATTTTAGTTTCAGACAGTTTCATATAATGAAAAATGATACAATATTATGTTCTTCCCTGAAAAGTTTACTACCAGTTCTATCGATAGTTATGGACTATTGATAGTAACATATTGTGTTATTGTATTACAGTAAATAATACTTTTACTCAATATGTAACTATTGATATGTTACAGAATCAAATAACTTTAAAAAACAAAATATTTTCTCAATGTGCGTGAAAAATATTAGTTTAGCCTTTTTTATTATATTGCTATCCAATTTTCGATTAATAAGCACCTGTTCTATCGATGATAACGATTCTATCGATTTTATGGATAGTAAACTACGAGTTGATCGTTCCGTAAGATTCATCAATTTGGTTGGTCAATTTGATTGTATTATTCAGGGGAAGATTCTCGAAAGGAGGGCGCCACACGTATGATCTATTTACATTAAGTCTGAGGTTTAATTAAATGCTTTAATATGATATCTCTTTTATTCCTGGTATTTGCCTCTATTGTGTTGGCATCTTACCTATGAATTTTTAAAAATTGTACCTAGAAGTTAGACTAGCTGAAAGAAGAATTGACGTGGTGGTCTTGACTGACTGATGGATAAACACACAGCCTAAACCGCTGGTCCTAGAAATGTGAAATTTGGAGAACGTATTCCTTATATGATGTAGGCACCCGATAAGAAATGATTTTTCGAAATTCTTCCACTAAGTCGGTAAAATAGGGAATTAAAGATTGTATGAAACTATCATTTTTAATGTGAAATACACAGAAAATGGTGTTTAGCTATAGAGCTAAACACCATTTTCTGTGTATTTTACATTAAAGTATATGATAAAAAGTAAAAATTACTTGATACTTGGTATTAATACTCTTCAATACAATTAAATAATACGTGTTTTAGTATTTTTTGAAATTCAATCCCATAAGGGGATATACTGGAGGATGAAACTTTGTATGAAACTCTGTAATTAATATGTAAAAAAATATAAAAAAAATATTCACCTTAAGACAATTTAAAAGTTTTAAAATCACTTTCTGCAAAATGATGTTCACATAGCCTTAAATATAAAAATTTCGATTTCGCCAATTTTAATCGTTTTATTGCTTTAGCCCACAACTTCTTCAGTTTTTGTCTTTTGGGAACAAATGATATTTTGTTTACACCCTGGCACTGCACAATTTGTCATTTTAATTAAATTTTAAATAAAATGAAAAAAAAATCCAACCATGCTACAGAGCTTTAGAATATACTCAAGGCTATAGTGATTGCGACATCTGGCGGGAGAAAAAGGCAAAATTCTTTCATAAGAAAGTAATAGTACTATAAAATTCATTGATAGATTATCAAAAATAGATTTTCAAAAATCTAAAAACAAATTCGTTATACAGTTCGCCGGAAAATTTTAATTTTATATTATTAAATTGATATTTTTTAAGTAATTAGTTTTTTAATATCAACTAAATTGATTTTAAAAATGTACTTATAGGAGTACCATTTATTCATATCAATCTTATAAAAATTAAACAATGACTTTACCCATAGAGTATATTGATACATATATAAAACTTTACCGTTTAAAAGTTTTGGATTTAATTCGATTATATATGATTAGGTACATGGACTTAGGTACCTACTACATTAAAACTATAGCTTAAAGCCAGAACTAATTCATCTATTTTATTTGTCATCCATGCTTAAAGCTAGTATAGTATTATGTCAAGGTGTAAAAGTAACGACAAATAGCGTACCCGTATGCATTCGTTACTATAGCATCAGTACTCGTTACTTTTGAATCGTTACTCGTTACTTTTGATACCCGATAACATACTCGTAGAGCATCGTATCGAGTCGTGTTGCGTATGTATTGCGTACGGTATAAATTATACGATATACCGTATATCGTTGACGTCGCGTTGTTTTCTGTGGAATAATGCATGATCAACAAACCATTTCAATTGGAGAGTTACATGATATCCAGAACCCGTAAATTTTGATTATTTATAAATCTATATAATTTTTAAAAAGTTTACTAACAATATTTTTTTATTAATAATTTTTGAAATTAAATAATAAATATAAAAATAGGTAATTTAAAAATGAATAAGTAACGGCATCTATCACGTTAGTGTGACGTCGTAATGCATATTTTATTTAAAATCAATTGCGCGAATGATTTATCAAATCATAATCTGTATGTATTACACATAATCACATGATCATGTCTCACGTAGGATAAATAGATAATTATTGTATTACAATACACAGTTCTTCTCAGCAGAAAACTTTATTCCGAGCCGGCGGTAGTTCCTAACGGACTAACATTTAATTTTAATTTAAAATGTAAAATTGACGATTTAAAAGAGCTTGTAAAAGTTTACTTGAATAAAGTATATTTTGATTTCATTTGACATAATCATTTAGTAAACATTATAAGTATTTGTTGGATAAAAAACTAAAAATGTGTTCTAAATATAATGGTTGTTTCTAATTGAAAATTGTTTCTAAACAAAATTTCTAAGATCTGGAAATCATGCAACTCGAAATAAATAAATAAACTCTCTAATTTACTCATCAATGGTTTTAAGTATTAACTGAAAGTTGTATTTTGCTGAATAAAAAATCAATAAAAACATTAGTACGAAAATATGTACGGAAAATGCGAGTAACGAAATGCATTCGTGAGTAACGTTTCGGTACTCGGTACTAGATGGCGTACCCGTTACTCAGTAACGAATACATACGGTTTGCTACAGCTCTAGTATTATGTGATCTGTGGTTTAAAGTAAATAGGCAATGAACTATCAAGTTACTGAATTTATTGAGTAGTATGCACGGCTGCAGATTCAATAGTTCACTGGTACTGGGGTCGAGTCTGACCAATTTTAGTTAGTTTTTTCAAGAGTTATCTTTTCGTCATACTACGAAATATGATTTTTTGACAGATGATAGACTTATACGCACTCAGTCCCATACTTTTATATTTTATTACAAAATTGTAGTTCATAGAACGTATTTGTTTCCATAAATCATAATGGTTTTATTTATCTTTTTAAGAATACCTAGATAAGGTGTGTATGAGAACTGTTTACCTAATTATTTAATACGAGCGACTCACCCTCGCTCCGCTCGGGTTCATCCCCAGCTTGCTTCCCAATAGAAATTATTATCCCTATTTTCACCCCCTTAAGGAATGATTTTCGGGATAAAAAGTATTCTATGTCCTTCCCAGGTCTCAAACTATCTTCTTACCAAATTTCATCTAAATCGGTTCAGTAGATCCAGAGATTATCCCCTACAACGTCACAAACTCACAAACTTTACCTATTTATAATATTAGTATAGAATATAGAATGTAAGGAAATTTGCCGCAATATGTACGTTATATTCTACTAAAAATTGTACTTTATACTAAACTAATGGTTCAAAATATATACATACTTTTCATTAAAGATAGACAGACAGGCCGACAGACGGGCGGATTATTTAGGTTTGGTAATAGGGTTAAATCCGGACCCTTTGGGTACGGAAACTCTAAAAATGGAGTAGCACACTTGTGTCGGTATTTAACAAATCTATTTACCTTACAATAATAATAAGATTCAGGTTTATCCAAGATAGCGTTTAGGAATGGCCACTAAGCGTATTTTGCGCTTACAAAACCCGGTCTGGTATAAAACAAACATTTGGAGAAAATTATAGCCACTATTATACAGTATTGTTGACCTGCACTCCATTTAATGTTGCGACGCTCGTTGAGCGCCTTTGTAATAAGGTTACAAATGATGCTCTCATCCCAATTCGCTACATATGCTGGGTAATAAAGGTAATCTCGGAAAATTGTTAAACCTTGTTGGACCTTCACTGATTTAGTTTATAGCACTTTTTAAATTAATTAGAGCTTAAAGCAAAATTTTATTTGACAAATATATTTTTAAAATTTCAGTTAAAAAAAAGCGTATGTTGTTGGGCTGTCAACTGGTCATCGTTATATTTATTAGTGCGCATTAAGTAAAAATATGTATTTTTGGGAAGTTGCGATTCTTTATAAAAAAAAGCAGGACAAGTAGTTATTCTTAGCAGTCAGAACTCAGATATATATATATATATCCAATATGCATTTGTTTTAAAGTTATAATTACTTAAACCTTTACAGCAGAAATAACTCTTCGCTTAAACTACTTAAATATAATTGATAGAATAGGTTCAATGAGCCACAATTTCTAATCCTATTTTTTTTATCTGCGCGGGTAGTATCTATATACTCTGCAGACATTTCAACTGACGACTTATTACGGTACAAAAGATACAGCCTTTCAAAACGGTGGCTTAGTAATAGGCCCCCGACCCTTTAGGCAAGAAATCTTACAAAGAAGAACTGATTCGTGAAGTATTTAAGGTTCCGAACACCGATACTTAAGTATTATACTGGTTCACTAATTTACTAGTTAGGTATTACATATTATACACACACCCACACCCACACGCACGCGTGATTGCGTGCAATATAAATATGTACTTATATTAAATACATTTAAATAGCACTTTTAAGTCGTGAAGTTTTTCAATTTTGACACAATTTTATTAAAACAAATAACAAAGAAAAGTACAGAATAATTTGAGCACTGGCTTGAAATGTAGTTCTAAAAAGGCTACGTGAAGCAGTTCCTCTTTTTAAATATACATTTACATTATGTAGTACTAGCAGAGCCCGCGGCTTCTCTCGCACTAAAACTATAAAAAAACTCTAAAAAAGTAGGTACAAACTTTCATCCCTTATTTTACCCTCTTATAGGATGAATTCCGAAAAATGCTAAAATACGTAATTATTTAATTTTATTGAAGAGCATTAATACCAAGTTTCAAGTAATTCTGATCATAAATATTTTTTGAGTTGTATTAAAACGTGTTTTTCCGTTGGAATTAGATTATCTCCCGCGGTAAAAAGTAGTCTATGTCACTCTCAAGCCTTACATCTCCACACAAAAATCACGGCAATCCGTCACTCCGTTTCGACGTGAACGAAAGACAAACAAACAGACACACTTTCACATTTATAATATTAATAATATGGAAGTGTGGATATGCATATTCATAATTCAATGCTATCTGTCATGTGTAGGGCTAAACAATGTTATTTCCACACATTTTATCTTCTAAATTACTGAATACTATGAGTAACTAGATAAAATAATGAGTACTTACGCGGCTTCACTCACTTACAAACTTTCACAATTATAATATTATAGTGATGTTCTTGTTACTTTAACAATAAATTGATTAGGTCGTTATACCAAACAATATTATTTGAGTGTATATAAACCATAATAATAAAACAAAAAAATAAATAAATATCGGTATATTTATGTCGGCGATATATTTTTCTATCACAAGTCATGTTGAATATTCCATTTCCTATATGTAAATAGGTAATTTATAAATTTGTTTGATCTACTTCTCGATCATATAGTTGCTTCAGCAGTTCTGAATCAATTGCCGATTCGTCACAGAATTTAATTTTATTCACCATGCTATTTTGAAGTGCAGTTAAATCTTTTGCTAGTATGTTTTTAAATATAGGATGCGCTATCATATTCGCAAAGAATTTACGGTTCGACGTAAACTGCGGTGCGGAACCCACAGTAGTTTTTGAAAAATCGTTGATATAATTTTGGAGATTATCAACAATAAACCTAGAAGTTAATTGAAATTTGATGTAATTATATACAAGTTTAAGCTTATGCAAAAGTACATGCACACGCACACACAGAATCACACAAACAATAAAGCAGTACACAAACTATAATCTCAATACAATTCAAAAATTCAAAATTGTACCGCCGTGATTTCATGATATATGTACCTATTTGTAGAATTTATTTTAGCCTTAGCCACGATAATGTTTTATTATACACTAGCAGAACCCGCGGCTTCGCTCGCGTTACAACTACAAATAAATCTCTAAAAAGGTAGTTTCATACAAACTTTCATCTCCTATTTTATGCCCTGATGGGATGATTTTTGAAAAATGCTAAAACATATATTTTTTTAATTTTATTGAAGAGCATTAATACCAAGTTTCAAGTAATTCTGATCATAAATATTTTTTGGACTGCATTATAACGTGTTATCCCGTGGGAATTAGATAATCTCCCCCGGTAAAAAGTAGCCTATGTCACTCTCCAGACCTCCAACTATCTCCACACAAAAAATCACGTCCATCCGCCACTCCGTTTCGACGTGAAAGAAGGACAAAAAAAAACAAACACACTTTCACATTTATATTATTAGTATGGATTACCGTGCCTTAGCCTTCTCGTTAGGACTTTTTTTACTTTAAACCCAAAACCCCTTTTTTTTTAACGTTGGGAAATGCATTTACGCACGAGGTGTGGGACTCACCGGCAAAACCAGTACTACCCACTAAAACCGAACAAAACCTTCCTTCGTCTTAATGGGGCGTCGCAGGATCGCTTACGCATTCAACTACGACGCCCCGACGGCAGGTCTGCCGAAGCAGACCACAATAACCATGGGGTTGCTCCAAAGTCCACTCTGCTATCAGAGAAGTACCAGGAGCAACCCGCATGGTACACCGCCCACCGAAGAGGGCCACCTCCCTGTGCGTTTCTTGGCTTCGCGCCCGGTGAATTGCCGGGCACTACTGAGCCCCCCCACCCCGACAAGGTGAACGCACGTTGGGGGGGAAACCCCTACTATCAAAAATAAATATAACATTTTGAATGTGAGCAAGGAAAAAAATATTAATATGTCAATCAGTGACCTGTGACTGTTTCACAATTTAACGGCTTTTATTATGTAGTGAAATTGTCATAATTTCATTGATTCACAATATCACTGAATGTGCTTAGGAAAATTATAATATACCTAAAAATTTCCCGTGATACTGTAAGAAAAAGAGACGATTGAAAAAACTCTGTGTAGGTACTTATAACTTCACTAGTGAAATGATAAAATAACGGATCTTACAATTTCCCTGCGACATATACACTACTTAGGCCTATTTAGTGTCAGTATAGTATTAAACAACTAGAAGGACATAAATTTTGTTCTCATTCCAATCAAATGCGACTCGTTGAAATAGACGTTTGACGTTAAACCAACGGCGGTGTTCCCAGACACAGCCCCATCCGATTTTTTGTTATAAATTTTAATTAATTTAAAATATTAAATGTGAGAGCTTTAAACTAGGCGATAATAATTAGGTTTTATTCTTCTTACCGTTTGTTAGGCATTGATGTTTGAAAACATTCGTTGAAGAAAAAAATTATGAGTGAGAATGTTTCCTGCGCTATTTCAGTACCTTCGATTGCTCTGTAGACCTCAAAATAATATTTTAATTTTTAATTTATTTTAGATTTTAGTAATATTTCATATGTCAAATTCTTACTTTTTTTCCTCTTCATTGCAAATCACTGTGGAAAAAAGTATAAGTATGTATACAGTAGGAATATAAAACATTCTTAATATAAAATACAGCACTTGTTTATGTTCGACATAAAAGTTATAACTTTTGCAACGACATCAAAAAAGAAATATAATTTTATTACATTTCAAATATTTGGTATTTTATCAAAAATATTTTATTGCCTAAGTTTAAGATATAGAAATAATGTTAATTCGGAAAATTATATAAGTAAATTAACATAATAAACTTCTTCTTCTTCGTCCCCTAACTGGTGAGGATCGCGATCACTTATGATATTCTTCCAGTTTTATCGATTCAGCGATGCTTGGCTTGCGTCATGAAGAGCGCCCACTGTCTTCATAATCAACGACACGTTAGCAAACTCAGCCAGAGTTTGTTGTGATCCCACTTGCTGTGTCAGTGCTCGCGGGTTCGAGTCCCGCTGGGGGCATTCATTTGTGTGATGAGCACTAATGTTTGTACTCCAGTCATGGGTATTTATATTTATAATATGTGTGTATATGAAAGTTATATTTGTGTAGTTATCAACTATCTGGTATCCATAACACAAGCCTCGTAGCTTACCATGGAATTAGATGGTGCTATGGTTCCCCGTGCGAGTTTACCGTCAATTTGGCCTAATATCACTTTTTATACGCTATGATCGAATAATGTGTCCAAAAAATCTTAGGGCCTTGTTTTGATAAAAAGTGGTTTGACAAGAATGTTCGGCAAGAATGGAATCGTTGGTTTTTGTTAGCGGCCTACGAATAACATAACAAAGATAAGTTGATTTATGTTAAAATCGTAGTAATTCCGTATTTAAAATAATTATTATTAAAGCTTGACTCCGTCTTTTTATTATCCATAAGCGTTAAACATGATAAGTACACATTATATGTAGCAGGTTCTTAGAGCCCTAGGGTACTAGGTACGGTAGGGTAAGGCTACGGTACGGTAAGGTAAGTGATAGCAGAGTGGACTGTGGGAGCAATCCCTTAGTTGTGTGGTCTGCTTCGGCAGACCTGCTGTTGGGGCGTCTTGGTGGAGTGCGTAAGTTATCCTGCGACGTCTCTTTAAGACGGGGGATGTTCTATTGGGTTTTAGTGGGTAGTATCGACTTTTCTACCCGGTGAGTCCCATACCAATCCACCTGTATAAATGCAGGTGGTATGCGTAAATGCACTTCCCAACATTTTAAAAATAAAGGTTCTTAGAGCGGAGAGCTCAATATGCACAGCGGAGAACTCACAGTTACGTTTTTAATTTAAGCTATTATCTAAACAGTAAATGTTACTACAATCATTTGTTCTGTGACTCTTTAATCTTTCTTTTTTCCTTTCAAGCATTAAGTGTCAGCTTTGAACTCATTGGAATCCATATATTTAACTAAATAATTTCGAAGCAATCTGCTATACAATGTACATAAGTGCAATAAATCATTTGTCCAAAAGAAAATTTTACTTATTACCTCATTGTGATAAAAATAGAACTAATTTATTAGATTTTATAAAAGAACGGAATGTCATTGAGTGTCATCAGATTGTACGATCGGGAAATCTTGAGGGAGCGATAACTTTAGAAAATCATTTCTCAAGTGACTTTCAATTTAGTTTGCGATTTGTATCGGAAAATTTAATTTACGATAGCTGTATTTATGACGTTTGATCTAAGATTATAACAAAAAGTCAAGTATGTTTCAGCCTGAAGTATCTAAATAATGTTATTGAGATTAGCATTATTAGTTTTGAATGCGTAAAACATTGTAAATTTTAATTAAATCGTTTTTTTCATATATACTTACTACATTGATATACAAAAACTCAAGACACTCAATTAACGTCTCAAAAGTGTCCTCATAAAAAGTGCACTATTCGAAATTGAATTGCGCTTTTTTCAAATCTCTTTTGTTTATTGCTATTTGGATGACAAAATTAAAATGCATGTTGTTTCATTTAAAAAAGGACTTTATGTTGTGAGCGTAATTTCGAATTTGTTATTTGTGTATAGACAATTAGAACTTTCAATTTTTGAATTTTATTCTTTGGTTTGACTTAATGACAAGTGCCACTTTTTGAAGACATATTTGGTAGGAAATGCTTATCTGTTTTTGTATATCAATGACTTACTATTATAATTTCAAATTTTTTGCAATATATTGCATGACTCATAGTCTTTATGATAACAATAAATAATCGAATATAATGAAAATAGTCTTTATTAAAAAATTCCAAGCTACAAATAGGTACCATAAAACTTCACTGTCGAATGACATTTGAAATAAATTTCCGCTTGCTACGTTCGAGTTTCGAGCGTTCAATTGGAACATTGCCTTGATAATAATAATTAATAATAGCGAATCGTTTCCTTCGCTCTTCTAAAATATTACCATTTATCATTGCATAGTTACTTCGCAAACAACATTTTTTTAACTTTATACCTAATTTGTTAATTTATAATTTCATATTTTATGTTTTATCTATGTTAAAATAAAAATAAAATTTTATTTATTAAAAGTTTCAGCACATTTCACAGAAGACATATCACGTAGGTTGTTTTTGTGATAGAAAAATAAAGATTAGACATTAGTGCTACAATATATCAAATCATTCAAATTAAGATTTGTCAAATGAAATGAAAGAACATTCATAATTATAATAATTATAGTCATTAATATCTATAATATGTAGGCAGTATTTTATTTGTAGCTCTAAAGCTTGATTATATTACAATATTTCCCATACCTTATCGTATTTCTAGAATATTTTTTCATTGGCATTAAAAGTTATAGTATCTGACCACTTCATAATAAGGTTATTGCCACATACCGGCATTTCATCATGTAGACAGCCTAAAATGCCTGAACGGCCACGGTCGTCGATATTAATTAGTAGGCCTTTATCTGTCACAGCCTAGAAGCACGAGTCCGATCTGCCAATCGCACTTGGCCGTCCTGTCGGTTTGGTAATTACTCAGTCGAGGTCTTATATTCTCTGCGGTATAACCGAATATATTATATTATAGTGTATACTATTTATTTACCATCATTGTTTATGTTAATATTACATATTGCATTCTAATCATAGTTTAAGTGAGACATGTTACATTGCTATTTTTAAGCCACAAGTGCAAGTTATTTATAGACACAAGTTATTCTTCTTTTTAAATACGTTATAACCTATTAAAAAAAGGAAATATGAAAATCAATTTAATAATAGCGAAGATTTTTTAAATAAGACACGGGAGAGTCTCTCCCGTGACCATGGATGCTGTAAAGCATTCGAAACGTCGGGAAACAAAAATACAAATAAATCCGCGACAAAATCCGAAAAGATAGTTTTATTTAAAATGTCAAATATTCGCGTAAATCTAAGAAAGTATTAATAGCGAAGATATCGAGTCAGCACTAAGCAGCCAAAAATTTTTTATGTATAAAGACATACATATAGTTAGTATATATTACATATTATGATAGTAACATATTACATAATATATAATAGTTTTAATTAAATATTTTGTATTTCGTGAAGGGTTCGCGTATTGACGAAAGTTGTCCAATATTCTCGTGTAAGCGCTCAAATTATAATTTTCTGAAAGCAATAGTTCAAAGATGAGTTTAATGAGTACCTGTCAAAAGTTTTAGTTGAGGAATTCTTGTTTATGCTTTCACACATGTATACTACTTTATTAATTTGTTTTTGGTATACATAATATTTATTTATGAGGTAGGCACCTTCCTAGACATTTTATTTAGTACTCATATTTAGTTAGTATATATATTTAGTACAATATGTAGAATGCAATAAGCAGTTTAATCACTTTCATGTGTTTCCTCTGCTTGATTCTACAATTCCTGCTGATTAAAAAAATTAAATTGTGTTATCTTACTCTTTATTTATTTATTCATTTAAACACTTTATTGCACACAAAAATAAAAATGATATGTATACAAAAAAAATACATTTAAAGATTCAGACATTTAGAGACTCTTTTTCAGTATTCTATTCTATTAGCCCTTCTTATTTTTGTAATTGATCGATATTAAAGCCCTAATAATCATTCAAAATTCGGACTAGAGTAACAGACTATTTTTAACACTACTTTTTTTTGTGTTATGTGATACCTACGTCTTATCTTTTTATTTCCTCAATTACTTTAATTTGCTGTCCTATTCAAAAGATAATGTCTTATATCTTTTCAGTTACAATTATTATTGTTTTTATGTTTTATGCTTACAATATCTTTTGATAAAATAGTCATATTAAAAATATTTTCTCAAATCAATAAATTAAAAAAAAACTGGGCAGTGTAAACTCTGCCTAATATTTAAACCTGTGTAAAGAATTATTTATACGCTATGCAAAGAGGTTTTATATCTATCAATATAACGTCATTTGCTCCCCTCAAGTGAAGACGCCCCGTTGATTGGAATATTAGCTGTTTGATAACAAATTCGGCAGCGGGGCTGAACGCCGGTAATGAGTGTTCTGCCTCCTTCCGAAAATTTCTTCTATTGCCTTTCAATAACAGCATTACAGGCAATAAGGTGTCCCCTTCCTATTTTCTGGAAAATAAATTAAAAATTCTTCATTTTAATATGCCTATTATGAATTCGGATTAATGTTATGGCGTACTATATTTACCTGATCTTCTATCTTTTTTTATCTATATACATACATATAATAAAATTGTAACTTAGGCGAATCTGAACATTACATATTTTTTGGAAAATCTTATTGAAATAAACATTATTATGGATACAGAGGCCGAATCTATAGTTTTTAGAATTTTTGTCTGTCTGTTACCACATCACAGAAAAACCACTGG